GATTTCTGGTTTGTGAGGGTTTTTTTGGGTAGCCACAGAAGGTGTTCATTCAAGGAAAGCACCAGAAGTTGAACAACACACAGGTGTCTTGGTTGAGGTGAAAGGTGGGGAGTGGGTCCTACATGGTGCCCAAGGGGCTCCTGGACCCTCCTCCCAACATAGTTGGCCAACCATGGCAATGGGCTCTGCAGCCTGCATGGAGCCCTCCAGCTCCGGTATTGCAGATGAAACCCACAAGCCAGAAAAGGGTGCAGGCCTGCTTGTGACCCGCGGGCTCTGAGACTCCTAGGACAACTTCAGAAGCCCTGACCTGAAAAGGGGAGCCTCGTGCCCTGACATAAATCTCTAGAAATCAGTCAAGAGCTGTTTATGGGGAGGAGGAAGGGGTTAACTGTCTTCCATGCAGTGGAAAGATCAGCAAGGAACTGGCCAGCCCAGACACTGTTGGACTTGGCCGTGTGTGCTCACTGAAAACCTTTCTGAAGGCCATTTCAGATAATTGGTTAGAACGGAAACCGAATTGGAGGGACTCCAGGAGGCAAGGCAGGATGTGGGGGCTGGCCCTTCTGATGCATTTTCCTCTGGCTCCCTCTCCAGAAACATCGGTCTGTTCACAGACACTTGTGTCTGTTGTGTTCTGAGCCCTGAGCCATGTCATGGGATTCCAGACCCAGTTAATGTCAGGGTCAAGTTTATCCTAGTTTCTTCCCCTTGAAAGGAAGTGTCAGCGACTCAGTGTTTATCCTTTCTGGCTTTCCGAAGCGCCTTCTGCACCCTCTCCAATAATGTAGAGAGTGCATTTGAAGAGAAATGACATTAATAGAGATGGAGAAGAGAAGGAGCTGGAGAACTGGAGGAGCGTGGCTTTGCTGGTGGATAAGCACAGGAAAAAGAAATAAGGCCGTGCATTTATTCTGGGGCTTTGTGAGCTCTCTCTAGTCTCTCCCAGCCACTGGAAGTCATTGCAAATGTATAACATCAAGCCCCAGATTGGATTTCCACGTGAAAGTAGAACCAGGGATTTGTCTGATTGTGGAGCCAGCTTTCTTTTAAGCAGCTGCAGTGGAGTTAAGGAGGGTCTGGATTCTCTTGAAGGTAAGACTTCACAGTTGGGTTCTGAAGGCTAAACAGGGCCAAGGGCCAAGGCTAGGACTGAGCACCCAGTGTTTACTCAGGGCAGAGGGTGGCACAGTTCTTCATTTCCAGAAGTGTATATTCTGGAACTGGGAACAGGGGAAGGCCATAGAGCCACAATATCATAGTACATGGGAAAAGCTGGAGTTTAATCAAAGGTTCCTTCTCTTGCAAGAACCTTTGGGGGCCATTGTGACACCACCATCCCATATCAGAGCGCTGGTTTGAGTTCCAGCTGGTCCACTTCCAATCCAGCTCCCTACTAATGTACCTGGGAAAGCAGCAGAGGGTGGCTCGAGTTCTGGGGCCCTGTACTCATGTGGGAGACCCAGATTGAGTTTCAGGCTCCAGGCTTCAGCCTGGCCCAGACCAGGCTGTTGGGCCGTTTGGAGAGTGAACCAGTGGATGGAAGAGCTCTTTGTCTGTCACTTCCTCTGTCTCTGTCAGTGCCTTTCAAAAAACAAGGGAAAAAAAGGAGAAAAAAAAAAAAAACAAAAAAAAAACAAGAAACTTTGTTGGGCCTTGAATTCATTTTTACAGACAGATTAAATTTTTTCCGAGTTCTTCAGCCCCAGCACTGTCCATGTATGAAGCTTCTTTCCCAGCAAACAGCCTGTATGTAGTTATTTAATCTCATTTCAGCTGGAAGCATGAGTACAACTTTTGCGTTTTGGTAATTATTCACCTCGTGTTATCAACACTGGTCTTAGAACTACAGGACCATGGGGTGGGATCATGCCGAATCATTCATTATCTGGGTGCGTTCTTAACTCTCATGCTTCACGTCTTGTTCTGCGAGTGGAATGTCTGTGTTGAAGCTGTAGGGCTTTGACCAATTACAGTAGGTCCCAACAGCCAAGGCTTGGAATGGCCGCTTGACCCGCCCACCCAAGCTGTGATATCATATTGGTTCCCATAATCCACTAGGCTAACTACCCACTTGCAGCTGTCTGCTTTTGCCACGAGATGGCACTGTTATCATTTTGGCTTTTACCCAAAGATGCCTGCCTCTTTTTGGAGGGGACTAGAGAGGGACATTCCAAAGATGTGCCATCATGGGCTCAACCAAATCAAGCTCTTGACAGTTCAGTTGCTAAATAAATATTAAGTACCAGAGGTCTTTATTTAAAAAAAAAACTCTTAAGTTTGCCATCTGATTGCAATAGCTGGTCCTATCCTCATATAAAACTAGATGATGGTTTTCAAGGCTTTCAGCATTCTTCTGTTGGGCTCAGTCCATGCAGCTTCCTAGGCACATCTTTGCTGTGCAGACTCTGAGCCCTTTGGATTATAGAGACAGAACTGTTGCTGAGGCCCTGGGATTCACATCTGGCTGGCCTTGCTTCCTGAGAGAGGAATGAAGGTTCTCTTCAAACAAAACCATTGGGACTCTTCCCCTCCTCTTGGACTCGTCAAGGTGCCAGAAACCACCCCTAGTGAACTGAAACCCGTAGGGATTTATTGGCAAGATCATGAGCAGTTCACAGAGTTCATGGAAGGCTGGAGACTGCACTCTGGACCAGGGCGGGGATTCAAGGAGGCTGAGTTGGCTGGAACCAGAGCCAGAATCAGACTCTGAAATTGCCTGGCTAGGATGCTGCTGCTGCTACCGCCACCACTGGCAAGGACTAAATGCTGGGTGCCACCCTTGCTGCAGTTTGTGTTTTGTTTTAAACTATCCCCTGCTTTTTCGTGTCACCTGCTGCAGACTCAGTCACCAAGTGAGAGCACACAGCAGACCCCCTGCTACCCCAAATGACCTTGTGTGAGAGCTGATGCTCACTCGTGCATTGCCATTATCACAGCCGTCCTCCTGCTAGTTCTTAGTTGAGTTAGATGGTTCATCCCAGCCTGGACCCATGCTCTTTCCACCCTCCCACCCTGAGCCACTGAGCAGCTAGCACCAGCCCCTGGAAGGGGGCTTGCAGAGAGTGCCGGGTTTGGCAACCCCTCTCTTGGTGGATATTTGTGGCGAAATGATGGTTGAATGTTTTGAACATTATCCTTGATCATGTCTACTTTAGATCAGCTTATAAGAGTGGGGCTGGCCCTTCACAGTTAGTAGTTTCCCTGTTGAAAAATGTGAAAAGTGCAAAGGGCTGCCCACTTATCACAGTGACTGCTAACTGTGAGTGAGTTGAGGCATCTTTTCTGTTTGGTTCATAAGACATTTCCACTCATTTCTTCCCTAGCCTAGGAATGCTATGTGCTTTGTACTATTAAAAAAAATTAAGATGAATTAAACTGAAGTATAAGGAAATTGGGGCCGAAGCTGCAGCTTACTAGGCTAATTCTCCGCCTGCAGTGCCGGCACCCCAGGTTCTAGTCCTGGTTGGGGCGCTGGATTCTGTCCCGGTTGCTCCTCTTCCAGTCCAGCTCTCTGCTGTGGCCCGGGAGTGCAGTGGAGGATGGCCCAAGTGCTTGGGCCCTGCACCCGCATGGGAGACCAGGAGGAGCACCTGGGTCCTGGCTTCGGATTGGCACGGTGCACCTGCCACAGCGCACCTGCCGCAGCGGCCATTGTGGGGTGAACCAACAGAAAAGGAAGACCTTTCTCTCACTGTCCACTCTGCCTGTCCAAAAAAAAAGGGGGGGGGGAATTGGGGAATTGGGAAAGGGATTATGGAATGTTAAAATATTATGCAGCCATTACAGTGATAAATATGCTGACTGGGTAGAAACCTAGAAAAATGTTCATGACATAGTTAATTTAAAAATTCGAACTCAAAGCTGTCTAGACATTATAACTACATAAATGCTGTGTCTGCATCTAAAGGTTAGAAAGAACTGTAAAAGGAATAAAAATAGCTCTGTTAACGTAAATTTTCAGTTGACTCAAAAATATTTCTTCAATTATATTTTTAAAAAATGAGTAAATAAAACCTTAATAGAATACAGTTGACCACAAAAAAATCATTTATCAGATAAGAACTTGGGGATGATAGCATAGCAGCGTTTCTGGTGCTGGAGAACCAAGCTGAGCTGTCTTAATACTGAGACCTGGGGACCACGAGGGCATGCACAGCACAACAGCTCATGTTCCTTTAAGAACAGTGGTTTCCACAGCCTAGAGAACAGTCTGAGGGGGCCAGCAAGGTCAAGGATGGTCGCAAGTGGATCTTACAGGGACAGAGGCAGAGTCCCTGCTGATGTGTGCTACAGAGAAGGACTTAGAATGATTTCCTTTCCGCCTGGAGAATTCTATTCTCTCTCAGTTCCAAGGGTGGTAAACAAAGCAAGCAAACACTCAGAGGGAAAAAAAATTAGGTCCCACCTGCAGGTTGTGGGATGCAGCGCCCAGGCGCTTGTCCTACATGTTGGGCTGTCTGGGTTCTAGGATCAGCTGCCCGACGTGGGCAGGTGAACTGCCCCACCTCTCCGTGCCTCCGTTTCCTCATTGGTATGAACCACCGTGATACCAGTGCTTACCTCACAGGGCTACTGTGCATTAACATACCTAAAGCATTCAGAGCATCTCCTCGTGTGCATGAAGCTCTTACGACCTCTGATGATGGCTTTGCAGTGTGATTTTTTTTTTCCTCTTTGCCTGGACTGGAATACATGTTTCCCCTTTCCTTTACACTCTGGGCCATGTGTACTCAGCTAACCTGAGGTTTCTCATAGAGCGTTAGAGCTGGAAGAGATCTTGGATGGCATCTATGCCAAGGTAGCAACCAGACACGATGGAGGCTGAGTGGTGTGCTCACAGTCATGACCGTGCCTGGCCACCGTGAGCCAGAAGCCCCAGCGACTGTGTTTCAGCTCTGTTAAGCCCAAAGGTTACAGTGTGAGCATTCAAGATGCCGGCTGCGGGGCTTTCCCGGAAACGCCATGCACTGATTCCCTCGTGTGCTGTTTCTCTGCAGAGCAGCCCAGGGCCCCAGCTGCGGAAGAAGACGCGTCCTGCTCCCGCCATGAGCTCGGGTGAGTCGTGTTCAAGCCTTGCTCTTGTCAAACCTATGAATCCAGGCAGTTACCCAGGTCTCCCCCACACCCAGAAGGCCCCAGCACTGTTTTTCACTTGTCAGTTTTTGAAGCCTGGGTGAGTGCCAGAGCTTTAATGTAGTTGTCATTGCCATTGTCGCCCTCACAGTTTTTTGGAGTACCTGCGTGTGCCACGGACTGTGCTGCACGCCTGTGTGCACCCTGTCCTGATCTTCCTGTGATCCTTCACAGGAAGGCCCCTCCCTTCATGGAGATGTAACTGGCATACCAGAAACTACAGATATTTTAAGTATGCAACTTGATTCATTTTGGCATATGTATATACTTCAGTGACATTTCTTTTGGTAAAAAAATAAAAAATAGTTTTTCTTTATTTGAAAGGCAGAGAGAGAGAGATACCTTCCTCTGGCTCATTTCTCAAATGCCCACAATAACTGAGGCTTAGCCAGGAGCTCTGAACTCCATCCACATCTCCCATGTGGGTGGCAGGGTCCCAAGTGCTTGAATCATCATCTGCTGCCTTCCATGGTGTGCATCAGCAGGAAGCTGGATTGAAAGGGGGGGTGGGGCTGGACTCAGAGCAGGTACTCTGATATGGAACTGCAGATACAGGCATCCCAAGCAGCGATTCATCCGCGGTGCCAGACACCTGCCCCTCAGTGACATCTTAATCTGAGTAACTATAGCAGAAGCACACAGATTGATCATAACTCCCTCCACCACCCAGGTGCAAACTAATCTAACTTATTCATCCGGGCTGGAAGAGCAGTTTGGCCACCTATCTGCCGTGCCTTTGGTATTAATTCAGACCTCAGGGCCGGCACTGTGGCGTAGCAGGGTAAAGCCACTGCCTGTAGTGCCAGCATCCCATATGGGCACCAGTTCAAGTCCTGGCTGCTCCACTTCCAATCCAGCTCTCTGCTATGGCCTGGGAAAGCAGTGGAAGATGGCCCAAGTCCTTGGGCCCCTGCACCATATGGGAGACCTGGAAGAAGCTCCTGGTTCCTGGCTTCAGAATGGCACAGCTCCGACCATTCAGCCAACTGGGGAGTGAACCAGTAGATGAAAGGCACCCCCCCCCCCCCCCCCCCCCCCCCCCCAGAGTGGGGAAGGTTTGGAATGGCCAGAGGATTTTCTGCCTCTGCCTTTCAAATCAATAAATAAATCTTTAAAAAAAAAAAAAAAGAATCAAGACCTCAACAAATGACCGATTTTGAGTATGGTTGGTTTGGGGCTGGGGTGGAAAGCATTGGGCAGAACAGACAGAGAAGGGAAGAGATTCCTGCTCATTGTGCCACCGAGCGCGGTCAGCATTCCAGCCCAGAACTGGAGGCGGAGAAGTTTTCATCTGGAGATGAAGTTCCATGTTAGCTACTGCGCATGCTCTAGAGTCCCTGGGACCTGTCAGTGCAGCAGGGTGGGACTGAGGGCTGACCATTTGGTGATCGTTCTCAGAGGTCTCCTGAGCCTGCATATGTCAAGCGTATTGATTGAAAACAAGCCTTTACTGTGTGTTTATACACGGTGCCCTTTAGCTATGAAGAACTGTGTGTGCTTAGAACCTGGGAGGGTCCTAGGGTAGACAGCTCCCGGCACACCTGGACCTCAGCCCGTGTGGGCCTGTGGCAGACCTTTCTCTGCATATTTTTCTGTTAAACAGATGTCGTCACAGCAGCACCCCATTGGGATTTTGTGAGGGTCAAGTGGAGCCAGTGCTTTTAATGTCCTGAGCACTGTCTCCAAGACAAACTTCTTGCTCCACCAACATCAGGATTAACATAAACTGGCACTGCTGCTCCTAGGCATTGATGTAAGGGAAGGAGAGGCAGGACAGAGCGGGAGGGGGGTGTGGAAATGTCCCGAGGGATTTCCCCAGAGCTGTCTCTCTGGTGGCAACTAGAAGGGGGTGTTGCCTAGGATGTTTCCAGAAATTCTGGACCCTTTGACCTGATAATCCCAGGCTTGGTGTTGTCTATCTTAGAGGGAAACAAAACATCGCTCCCAGGGCCGGCATTTGGCCTAGCTGTTAAGACACCCACTACTCATACCGCAGCACCTGGGCTCAGCTCCCAGCTATGACTCCTGTCTCCAGCTTCCTGCTTCCCTAGGAGGCAGCAATGATGGCTCAAGTGGGTTCCTGCCACCCACGTGGGAGACTGGATTGAGTTCCTGCCTCCTGGCTGCAGTGTGGCCCAGCCCCTGCCTTTGTAGGCGTTTGGGGAGTGAGCCAGTGGATGGGAGCTCTCTGTCTTTCTGTCTCTTAAATAAATAAATAAAGTTGAAAAAAAAAAAAAACATATAAAACTGAGCTTCATTACTGAATAAAATGTTTATTAAACACAAAAATGCAACACCCCCATGAAGGTGAGTCATGGGTAATTAAGTGTACTTACTTGATGGAATATTGCCCCACTATTAAAACTGATATTAGGAAGATAGTAGCTATGTGGAAGATACTCATTTTAATCTTTGGTGGAAGGGGCAGCATGAAAATCAGGGGTTCCTTTAATTGCAAGTGTGGCTGGGCTGCCAGTCCACCAAGGGAAGTGCTTTATCTGCATGAGCCCATTTCATCGTCGGGGCAAAGCCCCAAAGGCGGGCATGGTTTACCCACATTAGGTAGATGGGGACACTGAGGCCCCAGGGGCTCATGGTTCGTCTGGGATCGCCCCACTGGTGTGTAGTGGACGGAGACAGACATGGGCTGTTGGACACCAGGACACTGCTGCAGAGGTTTGAGTCCTATGTGGTTGTTATGTAGATAAAAGGGGAAAGGAAGAGCATGGGGCTGAGCCTTGTGGTGGCTCAGAGGCTGCCCTGGTGTGGACTTGCGGGGGTGGGTGGGTGGTTGGAGGAAGGCTAGCGGTCCCAGAAAGAAGCTGACCAGGAGGCACCCGAGCAGGTGGGCAAGAAAGGGCTGGTGAGAGAAAGAGCATTGGGCCGTGAACTTGCGATGTTCTTTTACTTGGATTTCTGCTTTCCTGCCAACACTTTGCTTCCACCCATCAGAGAAATGAAGGCTCAAGGGAGCCTTGACACCTGGGAGGAGGGGCCTCTCTCTGTTGGTGGAGGTCAGTAGTGAAGAGGCTGGGTCAGGGGAGGTCCAGGCCGCTGGGTGTGGAGATTAGCAGCTCCGTGTGATTTCCAGCAAGCAGCCAGCCTTGGGGGAGGCCAAGGAAGATTCCTGCTGGGTAACTTTGTCCCAGCCCACTGAGCTACTGGGCTTTGGGACTGGGCTTCAGGCTCAGTAAGTACAGAAATAGAATATGAAGGTATTTCCAAAAATGCACAGGAAATGGCATTAAAAAGTAAGTTTGATTTTGATGCAAAAAGTCTTGAAATCCGAGCTCAATTTTTTTACATGAGCTTGTTGAAGTCCCCTGGTGAGCATGGGCTTCAAAGAAAAATAATTTTTTTAAAGATTTATTTACTTGAGAGGCAGAGTTAAAGACTCTAGAGGGAGACAGAGAGAGAGAGGGCTTCCATTTGCTGGTTCACTCCCCAAATGGCCACAGTGGCCAAAGCTGGGCTGATCTGAAGTCAGGAGCCAGGAGCTTCTTCCAGGTCTCCCACATGGGTACAGGGGCTCATGCACTTGGGCCATCCTCCACTGCTTTCCACGGCCTTCATCAGGCAGCTGGATTGAAAGTGGAGCAGCTGGGACTCAAACCAGCACCTTATGGGATGCTTAACCTATTACACTACATCACCAGCCTCTCAAAATTTTTGTGCCAAGATGAATTTATCTTTTAATCCCAAAACCACACACTTTTTGAAGTACTTGTGCATATAACAATTCAGGAAACCAAAATGTTTATTTTGGTTGGGAGGGAAGGAAGAGGGTAAGACATGAGATGAGAAGTTCAAGTCTTAGCTTAGTGACCTTGTGTAGGCCTGACGCCCTTTCTGAGTTTCAGCTTTCTGGTCTATACAGCAGGAGCTCCTAAACCCTCTCTCCAGAGGGCTGGCCTGAAGAATGAAATGAGACTCAGTTAGAATGCCAAGTTTGGATCCTCAGATCCGGGTAAAGAGATGTTTAAAAACCATATCCATTCATGATCATCTTTGGAGCTTGGTTGGCTGTGGCCTCCCCCGAAGAACACTGGCCACATGTCTGGGAGTGCCAGGGTCTGCCTACCGGCCTGTCTTCCCTGGCCTGCCTCCATCTGCGTATTTTGGGATGAAGAATGAGGAAAGCCTTGCAGATGACTGGGGAGAGGGTCTCAGTGCTGTCTGAGAACTCAGAAAAGTCCCAGCTGACACAGAGGTAATGTTCAAAGTGAACTCAAGTGTGCTTAGGATTTTCCCAAGGGAAGAACAGGGCAGAAGGCATGCCTGGCTGAGGGCCTTGCAGGATGCAAGGCCTAGAGGTCTTGGTGTCTGATATGCTCAGAGTTGCTGCCAGCAGTCAGGGCCAGGAGAGAAATGCGCTGGAGAGGGGCTGGGACTGGTGGTCACAGAGCCTTGAATCTGGGGTCGGCTGCTCAGGCCTTGCTTCCTAGGAAGCTGGTGGCCAAGGGGACTTGCTGCTTGCCAGCTTGCTTAGTTTCTTATTTATTTGTTTGTTTGTTTGTAAAGGTTGGGGAGAAAACAAAGAGAAGTCAGTCGATCTCCTATTCACTGGTTCACTCCCCAAATGCTCACAACAGCTAGGGCTCGACCAGGCTGAAGCCAGGAGTCCACACCTCCACCCGGGTCTCCCAAGTGGGTGACAGGGACTCAAGTACTTCAGTCGTTATTTGCTGCCTCCAAGGTAGACATTTTCAGGAAGCTGGGATCGAGAGTGGAGCCCAGGCACTAATGATATGAGATGCAGGCATCCCAAGTTATTATCTTAACTACTGAGCCAAATGCCCATCCTGATTGGATGGCTTTTAATGACATCAAGAGTGTCATTTTGCTAATTTAAATATAACCAGGCACACCAAGATACGGGTCATGCTATTTACCTAAAAATTATATTCCAGGGGCTGGCACTGTGGCATAGAAGGCTAAGCCTCTGCCTGTAGTGCTGGCATCCCACATGGGTGCTGGTTTAAGTCCTGGCTGCTCCACTTCTTATCTAGCTCCTTGCTAATGTTCTTGGGAAAGTAGTGGAGGATGGCCCAACTACTTGGGCCCCTGTGTAACATGGGAGACCCAGAAGAACTCCTGGCTGCTGGCTTCAGCTTGGCCCAGCCCTGGCCATTGCAGCCATTTGGAGAGTGAACCAGTAGATGGAAGATCTCTCTCTCTCTCTCTCTCGCCTTCTCTCTTTCTCTTTCTGTATTTCTGCACTTAAAAAAATAAATGTTTTTTAAAAATTATATTCCAATCATTTGTACACTTTGAGGAAGCTTTTTTTTTTTAAGATTTATTTTACTTGAATGTCAGAGTTATACAATGAGAGAAGGAGAGAGAGAGAGAGAGAGAGAGGTCTTTCATCTGCTGGTTCACTCCCCACATAGCCGCAATGGCCGGAGCTGTGCTGATCTGAAGCCAGGAGCCAGGAGCTTCTTCTGGGTCTCCCACGTGGGTGCAGGGGCCCAAGGACTTGGGCCATCTTCCACTGCTTTCCCAGGCCATAGCAGAGAGCTGGATCAAAAGTGGGGCAGCCAGGTCTCAAATCGGCGCCCATATGTGATGCCGGCACTGCAGGTGGTGGCCTCACCTGCCATGCCACAGCACCAGCTCCTTGGGGAAGTTTTAGTATGTTTCCCCCATGCAAGTAATATTCTACATGACTGAATTCCCAAAATAAATTCCCGAATTTTAATTTGGGAAACAGGTGAAATACAGCATGTAGGAACCCAATCTTTCTGTGTGGAAGCACAGAGTAGCCCTTGGGAGCCCTGTCTGCCAGGGCAGCAGCTAGGTTGGGGAAAGTGCTGTGGGTGTAGACTGAGGTTGGGACACAGAGGGACACACAGAGGGAAGGACACTCAGGAAGCCGTGTCACCTCTGGGACAATGACCCAGGCCCAGACTGAGGTGTGAGAGGGGCAGCGTCCACAGACATGTCATGGGAAGCATAGCGTGACTCTGACAGGTGGGGCGTTGGGAGGGAGGGGACGTGTCCAACAGCCGGAGGTCTCTGTCCTGGTTGACAGATGGAGCTCCATGCACAGGGACGCATCTGAGCTGGCCTTTGCATGGGTGACTCAGGCAGGAAATGCCATTTGGAGGGAGTTAAGCAGATTTTTTTTTTTTTAATGTCAGAAAGGAAACCATAGCTAGGAGGCAGGAGGATTCCCACACCCACAACACATCCCACCCTCAACAGATTCAAGCCACACTGCGGTCTCCAGACTCTCCCATGATGCTCCAGGGGACCTATCTAAGGCCCGAGAGAGCCGACGGATGGAGCCACTCCAGGGCCTTGTGAGGGCAGGACCCTCTGCTGCCCCTCAACCCAGTCCTACCACCTGGGACTCAGTAACTGAGGGGGAAGCAGAGGCACAACCTCACGTCCTTTGCCTTCCTCTCTTTCAGAGTGTGACATTGCTGCGTCCAAGGCCATGCTGAACGGCCTGGCACCCGGCAGCGATGGGCGCGACAAAGGTAAGGCTCCTGAAGAGCGAGGGGTTCCATCCTGGAAGGCGATTGTGGGTGGTGCAGAGCGCCTTGGCCAGGGCCACCCCGGCTGCATGGGGGTGGAGGTGAGGGGAACATTGTTAGCCTGATAAGGCTGTGAACCGGACACCTATTCTCTATGGTAATTTTCTGAGACCTGGGGTGTGTTTTTGTGTCTCATGAGTCCAAGGCTGCCACATCTTCAAAACTATCGCATCTCACAAGGACACAATGAGTAATGGGTCAAAGACCTGGCCGAGGCTTACATCACGCCGGCGCAAGTGCACCCAGCCCAACAAACCCCTTCCCTGGCATTTCACCTTCACCTGTGATAGACAGTGACCCATCCCTAGTCCTGACCTGGGAGCAGGGGCCTAATCATTAAAGTAAATGATTTCAGCCGACTTGGTTTCAAATGCATCCTGTTGTAGTTTCAGCTTAAAAAAATGTTTAGGATGGAAGATTTAAATGTGGAGTGAGTGCTGGATAAGAAGACCTCTGAGGTCCCCTTTGCCCTGGAGATGGTCCTCGTGACCTCCTCTGCATGGCTGGCTGAGAGCCTCACAGCCGTGCTTCCGATGCCACTGTGGCAAAGCACTGAACTTGGAGTGATGAGGCGCAGGTTCAAGTCCTGGGTCTGCCCCTCACTAACAGGCATTGTGGGAGGAGTGCTCTCATGGACCATACCATCTGCTGCAGTTACTCCTGCCCCAGATCCTGCGTTCTGCGAAGCCCAGGAATGCTCACCAAGCAAAATTTTACCAAAAAGCAAGAGTGGCAAGCCTGGAACAGGTTGTCTAAGTCAAAACACAATCTCTCCCAAAGAGTCATTTCACACTTCAGCCTCTGCATTTCTGTCGGATTCCGCTAGGTGTTCCCTTTGAGCCGGGGCAGAGCGGGGACTCAGTGGGAGCAGCCTGCGAGGAAGGCACAGCAGGTGTCCTGCCGCTCTCCAGATTTCCCTACCTCCCAGCGGGGTCACCCTGCTCCGCTACTGCTGTGGGCCCGTCTGCGGTGTCCCCGGGGTCCTGGACAGTGTTGGCTGGGTTGTGCTTAGGGAATCTCGGGCAGTGCCTGTGTGACAGGGGAGTGTTTTAGCATGGTCAACACCTGGGGGCCAGTCTCCCAGGTGATTCGGAGCAGTCAGTAGGACTGCTGTGGAAGCCTGTTTGTGTCTTAATACACATGCTGCTGTCACCGTTGACTCAGTGACAGCCATACGCCATGTGACTACCATATGCCTTACGAAGTGATGGCGTGCTGGGCTCAAGTGTCTGCCACCCAGGTCCTCTCTCCTGTCCCCTTGGCAGGCTTGCCAGCACAATGCCGATTCAGAAGCAGCAGTCCCATCCCCACCCAGTGTTCTGAGGATCCAGGGCTGCAAGGCCTCAGGGTGTTACTCTCTGCAGCGACTTCGGTGCCGTAGCACAAGGGCTGGCATTTTCTGTGCTGATGTTAAAGAGGGAGGACAAGGAGGACGTGTCCACCATGGGGACTGCAGGATCTGGGCAGGCAGGGAGCTCAGGCACCCTACAGATCAGTAAGCACGGGCACCCAGGACCAGGGGACTGCAGCCTTCCCCACATCCTGGGCAGTCTCTCTGTTCTACCTTAGCCCAGTGCGGGTCAGCATCATGAACTCTGCACTTGGGTACTGCCCAAAGTCTTAAGCATGCACTTGGCCACTTGGCACCTCCAGCCCAGGAGAAGGTAGGTTTAAGCAAGACCATCTGCCATGCAGCAGATGGGGGTTCTGATTTGCATGGGCCAGAGGCCTATGACTGTCAGAGGCACAGGACCCTAGATGCTGTGGTTTTGGGGTGGCAGCTGTGATGGTGAAGGGACCCAGCAACCCACAAATGTGTTCCTTTACTTCCTCCACTTGTCCGGAGCCCTTGGGCCATGGCTGTCCTCCTCGGAGCCCTGGCTGGAGCACAGACACCCCAACATTCTCCCAAGGGGCCCCTTGGGCCTGACTGCTGTCCCCTTCCTCTGTTTGCCAGGCCATCTGTGTCTCTGAAGATCTCTTTGTCCAGAGCCTTGGCAGGCGCCTGGTGTGGCAGGAGACACTGATAAGCACTGACCAGCTGGGGTTGGGGGCTGGTTGGAGGGCGGGTTCTGCCGTCTTGGCCCAGAACCTTGAAGAGGGAAAGCGGGTTATTTTTAATTACTGCATCCACTGCTCTGTGTATTGTTCTTTTCGTGGGGGCGACTTCCTCCCATTGTCCCTGCCCAGTTCCTCAACTGCCTGAGTGTTTCCCAAATGCTCTTTCTGGAGGCACCATTTACCCTTTTGTGTTTTCAGCAACTGCCGGCCCTTTACGTGCACGCTCTATTTCTGCTGTTCAAATCATTCCCGTGAAGACAGTGAAAAGTGCTTCAGGCCTGGTACTCCCTGCAGGTATCTCGCCTGGGGAGGGGGTGCTTCTCTTTCTTCATAGCAGATCATGCATGGTTTTCCCTCTTCCTTCTCTGACTAATACTTTGAGGCTTAACCCTTGCTTGTTCAGGACGCATTCCCTTTACTTCCTCAGTTCTTTGCTGGTCCTCCTCTGCGTGTGTGTGTGTGTGTGTGTGTGTGAGTGTGTGTGAGTGTGAGCTCCAGTGTGTGTGTTCTTTTCTGGAGGCCAGTGAGCATGGAGAAGAACTGAGTCCAGGGGTCTTGTCCTCTGTCCCTCCTCCGGGAGGAGGGTCAGTGCAGAGACCAGACATTCGCTCTGGGGTGCGTCCGGGGTGCATGGACTGCCTGGACTCTCCCTAGAGATTGCCAGCTCCCATCTCCCTGAGAACGAACCTGGCCTCCTGGGAACCTCCGGGTTGGGCTGAGTTGGAAGAAGCTGCCTTGATGCCACACCTAGGCCCGCCCCTGGCCGACGTCACCTGCAGTCCCTTCCTGCCTCTGCTCTCCAGGAAGGGGAGAGGATGCAGTTCAAATGTCAGCTTCCTTCTGGACAGAATGGGCCAGTGAGGGCTGGGCCGCACTTCAGCCCCCGGTGTTTTCCCGAGTCGGGCAGATCTGCTGTGCATCAGCTGCGCTGCGTTGGCCAGGTTGCCCCTCACCCTCTGGAGCCCGGGTTCCCAGAAGTTTTGTGGCATCATGCACTTCGCCTCTGATCGGGTTGGACGAGTCAGGTGGGCCCGGAGGCCTCTGCGTGCTGGGCCACATGTTTTGGGTTTTGTGCTTTGTTCCCAGTGGAAGAGGCGCTGACGGGGCAGATCTGTTCTCTCCTGTAATGCTAACGTCGATTTTGCCCAAGCTATAGAAAGGGCACTGCCGGGTTGGAAAGCGAGGAGAAAAGAGGCTTTGGTTCTCTCTGCCCTTCCCTGGGAGTGCACTGGAAGTCCGAGCCCACATCCTGTCCAAACGGGCACCCTGAACTTTAACCTGTAATCACATTTGTGGCGATTTCAAGCTACGGATCCAAGCTGGGAGCAATTTGAAAAGAAAACCACTTTGGAGTTCAGCTTAGCTCAGCTGCACATAAAGAGACCCTTGGCATTTGTGCCTTCTAGAATTGCGTGGTCTGCACTGGGTCCCTGCCACCCCATCACTGTTGTTCCTGGAGGATGGGCTTCTAGGACCTTTCTTTTTATTTTCATAAATATTTTTTTTTTTAATTTAAGGGCAGCAGTACAGAAAAAGAAGGAGAGAGAGAGAGAGAGAGAGAGAGATGGAGATCTTCCATCTGCTGGGTCACTCCCCACATGGCTGCAATGGTTGTGGCTGTGGCTGCGGCTGGGCCAGATCAAAGCCAGGAGCCCAGAACTCCACCTTGGTCTCCCAAGCACTTGGGCCATCTTCTGCTGCTTTCCCAGGCACATTAGCAGGGAGCGGGATGGAAAGTGGAGTAGCCAGGACTTGAACTGGTGCTTATATGGGATGTCAGTGTGGCAGGCGGTGGCTTAACCTGCTACGCCACAGTGCCAGCTCCTCCAGATCTTTCAAAGCTTATGGTAGACCCTCCAGATTCATAGTTTTGCTTTCCATGATTTCAGCCACCTAAGGTAAACCGTGCTCTAAAAATATTAAATGTAAGAACCCAGAACTGAGCAGCTCATAAGCTTTAAATCACTTGTATTCCAGCACACAGGCATACTGTTAGAGTTGCTCTAGTTTTCTGAATTACTGTTCATCTCTCACTGTGGCTAATTCACAAAGGAAACCTCATCGCGGGCAGGTGTGCATAGGAGAAAGCATGGGGCATGCAGGCTTTGGCACTTGGGTCCAGGTGTCCATGTTTCCCACGTGTTGCTTCTGGGTAGGAGGAGTCTGCTGGACTCTTATGTCCTCTCCAGGAACCCCCAAAGGTGGTTGGGCTGTTAGGGGGTTGGGGCCCTGTATAGACTCGGCTGAGGCTCAGTGGAGGCGGCTCATCAAGACGGCCTTTCCCGGGCTTTTCGTCACTGTGAGTTCTCTTCCTTGCACCTGGAATGCAAGGCCCTCACCCCTGGGCTCCCGCCAGCGCTGCTGCCATCTGCCTCCTCATCTCTGGGGACCTGACTTGCGCTACAAGGAGTTACTTTTCCTGTTTCCTGTTGGAGAACATGCGCCCGACTCCCTGTGTTGCCGACTTGCTCTGCGATGAGCAGGACGACTTGGAAGCTTGAGGGATCTTCTGTAAACCCTGTCTTGAGCCGTGCCTTACTAATCGGCCAGAAATCCGCTCACCAACCTAAACTTCATGTCATGAAAGACAGAAGTGCGTGTCCACGCTGAAGTGCTTGCAGCTGATTTTGTGACTCCCGCATTTCCTCAGAACTCACCACTGCCTCCATTCCCCCTAACCTCGTGGTGCGTGGTGCAGGGTCAGCTTCTGAGAACATGGTCTGTCCCACTCCGCCGCCTGCAAGTCTCCCAAGACTTTGCGTGGCTGTAACCAGGTTCATCTCATTTCCTGGCTGTAACAGCTCGCTAACCGCCTGTGGTTTAATCCTTCTGGTGTCCTGGATTCAGTCTTGTCTTTTGGGTCTTGTCTTTTCAGAAATGGATCCTACGAAAATCTGCACCGGGAAGGGAGCGGTGACTCTCCGGGCCTCATCCTCCTACAGGGAGACCCCAAGCAGCGGTCCCGTGAGCCCCCAGGAAACCCCACAGCGGGAAAGCCAGCCAGGTGAGCCTCCCTTGGGGCTGAGGGCACAGCCTCAAAGTCACACAGGAAGGCAGGGCCCTCATGCTTTCTCTCCTGAACTCATCAGCCACCCTCTGGGACTGTCATCTCCTTGTCTCTCCTGTGCTGGGGTGGTGGTCAGAGCCCAGACTGCCAGTCACCACCAGTTCATTGTAGATGCGACTAAGCATAGATATGACTGAGCAGATAATCCTGTTGCAAGAACCAGTGCGCGCACTTGGCCTTCGTTGTGGATGAGATGGCTCAGGGCCTAGGGAGTGAGTGGTGAGATGGTCAGCTTCTTTGAGCTCATCCCTGTAGCCTGCCCATGCAGGACTGGGCTAGGGAACCAGCCAGCTGAGAGATGCGGTGGCTGGATGACCCTGCTCCTAGGAAAGCAGAGGACAGTTCCAAGGCCAGTGCAAAGTAGGAGTGAAGAGAGACCAGAGAAGCCCCTGCCGCCCACCCTGGTCAGCAACACAGGCCACCTGAGTGTGTGGTCCAGGGTGTTGAGCTTTAGACCCTGGACACTGGACCGCCTCAGGTGTGTGTTCACATTGCATCTCCACCACCTGTTGGCTGTGTGACCTCGGATGAATATGCACTCTCTGATCCCTAAAGATCTCCCCTGTGGAATGGGGTTGATCCATGTGCCTGCCCCGGGGCTGTTGGGAGGAGGACGCATGTGGAGCGTCCTGCACGATGCCCGGTGGCTTGGTGCTGTTAAATGGTTAGTGATGTTTGGTGGCTTGGCACTAGCTGCTGTTGTCAGTTGGTGGTGTTTGGGCCTTTCTGGTGGGGGCCTCCCACAGCCCAAGTATTCTAGAAGGTGGAAAATGCTGACGTTGAGTTCCAGGGCACAGGTGGTTTAGTGTGGGGCAGCCTCTCTCCCCTCTGCAGGGCAGTGGTTTTTCATGTCTGTCTGCATCGGGATCAGCTGGCTGGACCCTAGCCTAGATTTGTAGAATTTGTGATTCCTGCTTGGAGACCTGAAGTTTTGCATTTCTGATGAGGTCTTGGGCCGTGCCGATGCTGCTGGCCCAGGGGACCAGCTTTGAGAGCTCCTGCTATAGGGAATGAAGGCAACGAAGAAAGGGAGTAGATCAGGCAAACCCTGTAGGTACAGTTGGACTGCTGGGTTGTGATAAGATGGAGTTCACTGGCAGGAGATGGTCGGTGCCCACTATCCCGGAACTGGACTCTCCTCTTGTCGCAACAACCTGGAACAGGTACTGAAGCAGATGCCTGCGGACAAGGCCAGGGCCGGAGTGCCAGCTCCTTTCTGAGAACGCTGGTCTCTGGGAGGGCTGCTTTATCCCTGGCCTGCAGGAAAGCCCACGTGGCCACAGCACTGAAACTTGCAGAGTAGCTTCTTGCTCCTCTACTCCTGAGCCCACACCTGACTGCTACGCTCTGCTCCAGGAAATGTAGGGGCACAGAGGACAAACTAGTTCTTTCCATCTAAGGCTAACCTACTCCAGCCTTTCTGAGCCTCACTGGAAAGATCCAGCTCCCAAGCTTGAGGATATTTGGGAAGAGAAACTCCCAGGGGATGATCTGAAGAGAAAGGCTATGCAGCCCCACCGCCTGGCAATTTTAACTGCTTGGCCCTTTTTCTGGTGGTGACAGGAGGTGGCGGAGAGGTAGCATTGAGCTCCCTCCAGTGGTTGCAATGTGGCATAGCACCAGTTGTGGGTCAGGTACAGCAGAGTACAGTGTGTGGGTTTGAGGCACTCTAGGGAAGCTAAATCTTTTCACCGACATCATTTGGTAGATGTTCATAAGATACGGAATATTTTTCACGAAATCATCACCATATTGTTTCAAAACGCAAATACTCTGAAGAATTAAGTGGTGGCTATCCATTGTTCACACCTTACTGTAAATTAGTATTTTCTTCCTAGCAAGTTGAGATCATTAAATTACAATGAGCATGCATTCATTCAGCATCACCTGTGTGCCAGGTGCCAATGAAGTCACTGGGAGTTGTGATGAGAAATGGGGAGGAGGAAAAGAGGATAATTCTGGGTGTACTGGGTGAGGGCAAAAGGCAGTTCGTTGCAGCAGAGGAGCTGGGTGTGGGCTTGTAGTCCACTGCCTTGGTTTCTGGCTGTGGCTAAGCCACAGCATATTTGAAACCCACATAAAGCTCTTCTAGTTCTAAAATGCCCGTGAACTTGGGAAGTTTGGAAATTAACCTGGCGTCCCATTGACTGGGAGCAAACTCAAGATCACATACTAGGGCTGTTTGGCTGGAAAGGAGCAAGCTGGATTTGAGTAAAGGAAGCAGTCACTACAGCTCTCATGAAGAGCACAAAGCAGAGTGGAATGGGATTGCAGAGCAGACGTTCAGGAGTGGGATCTTGTCCTCTTACCGTGGTGTCCGCTGGTGTCGGTGGGGCTCCCAGCTCTCCTTTCATTGTGCCCCATTCCCTCCTTAGAACACTGAGTGACAGCTTGTTGCCCCATACCATCATCCTGTCCTGTTGTTATGGAACGCCCCCAAAACTGGGTCCCATCACCCAGTGCATAGCGAGCCAACCGTGGACACGAGGTTGTTGGGAAAAAGTGTTTATTGCAAAGCACAAAGCCAGGGACCAGGCAGCTTAACACTGTTTCCAGACTCCCGCAGGGATTAAAGGCTGGGGACGAGCAGTGCATGATCAGCTGGTGTGTGGATCTCTGGTTGGTCCATAGTGCACGTGGTCTTTGATTGGTCAGTGACAGGGCCAATGTGTTTCCTTTGGAATGACCCAGTCCGTTGGGTTAAGGGCAGCTTGGGTATCACTTTGTTTGATCAGGGCTGAGTTCCCACAAAGCTCCCTGTGTAGAGGCTAGCACTGAGCTGTTCACTATGTTGACTAGAGGGCAATTCGAGGATTGAAGATTCATGGTCACTACGCTTGGCAGCCTGAGTGTGAGGCACACAGTGGCCTTTGCCAAGCTAACGTCAGATGGTGTCTGGCTCCCTCCTTTACTGCCAGGGCCAGGATCTGTCCCCCAGCTGCAGAGCTGCCTCCCTTCTCCCTTGCTCCCTAGTTTTACCACCTACTTGCATCCCCATAATTCTCCAAGTTGTTGACTGTTTGCTTAGACTGGAAGTTCCGGTCTTCACGAGGGCCCCTGACACCTGTAATTCAGAGCGTCCTCTGTCTTCACTTCTTGCTCCAGCTCTCTTGCCCTGGGAGAGCTGGTGTGGTTCTGGAGTCACACAGTCCTCTGTCAGGCTCAGTTCTGCTACTTCATGACGTAGACAAATCACTCACTCAGAGGACTTCAGTTTCCTCATCTGTGAAATGGGGGTGATCATGAGAGTGTTGTCAAGATTGAATGAGCTCGTTCGTTACAAGTGTTCAACACAGACCCATAGAAGGTGTTCTTTAGTGGTAATTACTCTAGTTACTGCAGGTCAGGAGGCTTGTTAAAAGACCCAAAACAATTTCAGTTTGAGGCTGTGAAGGCTTGGGCCTAGCACGGTGCCAGTGGGAAGGAAGAGTGGGGCCAGGAGTGAAAGGGTACTTTGGGTGATGGAATGAGAGGGCTCAGTGCAGTGTAATTAAGGACCATGGAGAGCCAGGACTCATGCTGACCAGGTAGCTTTCTTTCCTGGTTGGCTAGGAGAACGGTATGGCACTCATGGAGCTGGGCTGAAAGGAATGTTGAATTCCGTGTTATGCATGTTGAGTTTTTCAGTAAGGGAGGGCTTCCATTTGGGAGCCATCTGCATCCAGGGGAACTTCAGGAGAATGGAGACACTCTGTGAATGGAGGAACCAGTGGAGCCCTCAGAGTCGCCCAGCCCAAACTCACTCCCAGACTCCTGCTCTCCATGGTAGCTGGGCTCCAGGTCCCTGACCAGCCTCCTCGTCTCTGAGTGTGGACACTGGTTTCTGGATCAGAACCATCTGAAAAGAATAGCAGTGATCTCAGTACTGACTCTCTGTCCCCTGAAGAAACCTGGCTCTCTTACGGCTGCTTCCTGATTACACTGCCCGGCCAGGTCTGGGCATTGGTCACGCTGGTTCAGAGCAACTCCACCCAAGTCCCCAGTCAGGGTGTTTTTACTCAAGAGCAGACAGGCGGGGCCGGTGCTGTGGTGTGGTAGGTAAAACCACCGCCTGCAGTGCCAGCATCCCATATGGGCGCCAGTTCAAGTCTCAGCTGCTCCACTTCCGATCCAGCTCTCAGCTGTGGCCTGGGAAAGCAGTAGAAGATGGCCCAAGTCCTTAGGACCCTGCACCCATGCAGGAGACCTGAAAGAAGCTCCTGGCTGTTGTGGCCATCTGGGGAGTGAACCAGCAGATGGAAGACCTCTATCTCTGCCTCCTCTGCCTCTCTGTAACTCTGCCTTTCAAATAAATAAATAAATCTTAAAAAAATAAATAAATAAAGACACACACACACACACACACACACCCACCCACCCACACACCCAGGGAGCCTGAGCTGACAGTGGGTATGCTGCCGGGCTTCCTGTCTGGTATGGCGTGAAGACCTCATGGCTTGCTACGTCACTTCCTGTGTTCTGACTCAGATACCAAGGTTCAGGCCAGCCTTTGCGTTTTGTTAATTCTGTGCCAATTGGCCCCAATCCTTATTGCCTGATTCTTGACTGCAAAGTTAGCTTGGGCCATAAAGACTCTTGGATCTACAATCAACTCATTTCCTCTGGTTTGACTCCTGTATTTGCTTTCCAGAGATTGCAGTACCAAGAAGATATTGTAGGAAAATTGACATTGAAGCAGTAAAGGCTCTCCCACTCCCATTAAATCAGTCTTTTTTTTATGAGTGCCTGTGTTAGAATTCAGGCTGGCTGAGAGGCTGGAAGGAAACGCCCCCACAAGAGAAGACCCTCACTTGTGACACCAACTGCAGGTTCGGGTACTCCCAGAAGCCAGAAGGAAGGACTCCTGTAAAACTTATTGGAAGTTGTTATACTCCTGGTTATGGTTTATTACAAGGGAAGGAAGCAGATTAAAATCAGCCAAGGGAGAAGTGCGTAGGGAGGAATCTGGGGAGAGGCCTGATGTGGAGCTTCCTCTGGCCCTGGGAGTTAGGACATGTTGTTTCCCGGCATCCACGCCTGGCCGTGTCCCCAGCGTGTTGCCAGCTGGGAAGCGTGCCTGGCCTCTGCTTCCACAGTCTCTGCTGTGGCCTCACTACAGAGGCGTGGGCCTCGCACCTACATGCTGACTGTGTCCAGTCCACTGGGAAGTTGAGCTGCTGATGGCTCAAAGCCCCCACCCCAAGTCACATGACTGGGGTGGCTCAAAGCCCCCTGATGCAGAAGGCTCTGCTGTCAGGGATGCCGTCCCTGAGGCTTTGAGATGATCGCCTCCCAGAAGCTGAGGACAAAACCAGACCTCTCCGTGGATAAGCTTAGATTCTCTACTGCACAACATGACTTGAAAAACAGATGCAGATCTGATCTGGAAGAGTCTTAGGCCCAGGTTTAACACCCATCATTCACTTCTTGAATACTGCACCGGAGCACACTGGAGCTGACTCAGATCACCCAGAGAGCCCACACAGAACTGATCAGTAAACAAACCTGTAGAACAGGCGAGGATGACACAGCACAGAATAAGATGTAAGAAAATGTCGGGAGACGGTGGCCATGGGTCAGGACGGATTGCAGGTGCAGAGCAAATGGAGGGAAGGATAAGGCAAAGCACCTAATACCTCTTGTGGACTGGCCAGGTCTCCGCAGGGCAGCAAAACCTGCCCTGGCAGCCAGCTTCCCACGCCCTCCCCTCCCCTCGGAAACTCTAAGGTAACATTTATTGAAAGCAGCATTTTGACAGCCTCTTCAATCAGTAGTTAATAATTGATGATTATGGACATAAAATTCCACGTGGCCGTACTCAGGCGCAAATGGCTCTGGCTGCTGCCATCCTTGTGGGTTGAGAAGACAAGGTAGCAGGCAGGCTGGTGGCATGCCAGAGGGAGGAGGGGACCCTGAAAGAGGTCCTCTTTTGGGGCAGGGTAAAGGTAACGGTTTTGGAAGTTCTGACTGAGAAGAGAAAGTGGGTCGGTTGCCAGTGGTATCATGTTCTTGAAGCTGTTTATCAAGTGAGGGCCATCAGTGAGTCCACCATCATGATGATGGGGAGGTTTTTTCCCCATGTGCTTTGGCTGTCTGTATTATGAAGCATGAACTTGGTGCCAGGCACTGTCATTTAGTCCTCATGACTCACAGGAGATGCCATCTGCATTGCACAGGAGGCTAGGTCGTTGCTGCAGGCTGGTAACAGCAGAGAGAATCAGAGCTCAGGCAGTCCAGTGCCAGAGTGAGAGTCCCTCGTAAGACCTGGAGATCTGGGAAAACAGTCACTTCTCCACTCTCCATGACTCGGTCAACTGCCATTGTCACCTGCAAAGGATCAGCCCAACTGAGGGCCAAAGGGTAGGCAAAATGATGTGTCCCCAAATCCACGTATGAAGTTTGCATCCTTTGCTGAGTAGCCCCTTACTCGGGACCCACTGATAATTAGTGCATGGCTGAGTCTGCTGTGCCTGATAGGGTGACTTTGCAAAGGGGGTTTGAAATGGCAACTCAGAATATGGGACAGTAAAAATGCTAGATTTTGGAGAGGACAGAGGGTTGTCATCACTGTGTGTCACTGGTGTTGAAGGCCTGCCAGGTGGGAGGGGCCTGGACAGAGGCACCTTGAGTGTTAAATACAATCACTTAGGGCTACTGTCACATAACTGATTCCACATGCCTCAGCTGTTCTGTGGGGAGGGTATGAAATAGGATTTTATATATATACATATTATATACATATACATATATATATAGATAGATAGATTTATTTATTTAAAAGCAGAGTAACAGAGAGGAGAGAGAGAGAGAGATTGAGAGAGAGATCGAGAGAGATCGATCCATCTTCCATCTGCTGGTTTATACCCCAAATGGTCGCAATGGCCAGGGTTGGGCCAGGCTGCAGCCAGGAGCCAGGAGCTTCATCTGGGTCTCTCACATGAGTGCAGCGGTCCAAGGACTTGGGCCATCTTCCACTGCTTTCCCAGGTGCATTAGCAGGTAGCTGGATTGGAAGTGGAGCAGCCAAGATTCGAACCAGCACCCATCCTGGATGCCGGTGCTGCAGGAGGCGGCTTTACCTGCTGTGCCATGGTGCTGGCTCTAGGATTTTATTTTATGGATGAGAAGAGTGATGTGTAGTGTGGTTAATGAACTTGCCCATGGTCCCTCAGCCAGTATATTTCAGTAACATGAGCAGAGCACATGTCCTGTGAATTTCCCAACTGTGTAGTTGGGGTGGAGTTGGGGGGAGTGGAGAGAAGAGGAATATCTCTGAGCTGTGTGTCAGGGAGTGGCAGAAATGTAGCAGGCACCTGCTACACAGCATGTAACTGAGTCAGCTTATAAAAACTATTGGGGGGTGGATAAGAGAAAATGGGCAGTTAGCTTTCCAGAATAAGGGTATTTCAGTTGTCCCTCACTACCCCACAACCATGAGGAATTGGTTCTGGAGCCCCAGCAGACACAAAACTCCAGCTGCTCAAGTCCCCGGTATAAAAGAGCCTAGGATTTGCATGTCAGCTGTGCACCTCCTTCCGTATACTTCAGATCTTCGCTAGATGACTTGTTGTGCGTAAGTAGTTGTTATACTCCATTGCTTAAGGAATAATGAAAAGTCTGTACATGGTCAGTGTACTTTACTTTCCACATATTTCTGCTCTGAGATTGGTTGAATCCATGGATCTGAAGTCTGTGGATATAGATGGCTGACTGTACCCTGGGTTCTCAGCATGCAGGCTGTGGACCAGCAGCACCATCGGCAGCCTGTTAGAAATGCAGATCCCCTGGCCTCACAGCTCACTACTGAATCAGAAACGCTAGGACTGGGCCCAGGCATCTGTGTGTTAGCAGAGCCCTCCCGCTGGGTCCAATGCAGCCAAACCCCTGCTGTATGCAGGAGCAGATCGCTCAGCCGCTGCGCCCGCCTTCCTTTTGCTGTGACACCTTTGGCTCCACCTCCTACCTGGAACGGAGCTCCTGCTTCCAGGCTGATGGTGTGGTTGTTGGTGCTGGGCGGTGGGCAGAGCCCACCTGGCTCCTGAAGTAGAGGGGTTGCAGAGTTGTGTGCACTGAGTTAAATGCTAAGTAGATGTAAAGATGGCCACCAGTGTCTGCCACTCAGAACCATGCTCAGTAAATCGTTTTGAATCTCAGCTGGACATCTGGAAAGCCCTTCTCTAGTCCCTGGGGGACCCACACTGAAGTGGAGCCTGGGGCTGTGAGAGCAGCAGTGTTAGTCCCCTTTACCTCTTGGGAGGGGGAGATAAGAGGCAGCATCAGGGAGAAGGAGGAGGCAATGAAAAGACCCGCAGGATTAGGGGTTGGCAAACTGGGGCCTGGAGCAAAATCTGGCCCATGCCTTTCTTAGACAGCCTTTGAGCTGAGAACGGTTTTTTACAGTTTTAATTGATTGAAAGAAACAAGAAGAATGACACTGTCTGCCACCCGAAAATGATAGGTAATTCAGATATTATTGTCCGCGCATAAAGGTTTATCCAGACGCTGTCGTGCTGAGTCAGTTACACACTGTGGCTGCTTTTGTTCTAGAGTGGCAGAGTTGAGTGGTTGCCCCTGAGAACATACGGTCTGCAAACCTAAACCATCCACCACCTGCCCCTTACGGAAAAAGTGTAGGGGATGTGGGATGGAGACACGAGGCGATGCAGAAGGCGGTGCTAAACGGCAGGTGCTGCTGAACTTTGATGCAACAAACACGTACTGTGCTAAGTGTTTTATGTGTGCAGGCACATCTTTATCCCCATTTTTCAGGTGGGCAAACTGAAGATTAACCTGCCCAGGTCACAGACAGTGTGGAGCCAAGATTTGAATTGAGATCCAGCTGTTTTCCCAGCTGAGGTTGTAACCACTGTGCTCTATTTCTTCATGGTACTTGGTGGGTCAAATTAGGAGATGCTTAGGGACTCTGCAAGGCATTGGGCAGTGGCTGGAAAGGGACCAGGGTGCCTTGGAGGGCGATGGACACTCGAGGGGATTAGATTCTGAAATGTTTCGGGGGCTCATTTAATGGAAAGCAGAAGCAGGCTGGGAGAAGAAAAGTCCTTATCACAGCAGATACCTCTGGGCTGAGGTCATGTTCTCCCCGCTAGTGCACCACCACCACCCCTGGACAAAGCTCCTGCCCACTTCTCCCTCTCCCCGGTCTGCTCGTTAGCCCAGCTTGCTAATGAGGAGGCACAGCGGGCCTGAGGAAGGGCACCGAGAGCCGGTGAGCTGGGCCTGGACGGCAGAGTTGGTTGCCGTTTTGTCTGTAAAATAAGAATGTCAAGGAACAATTGTGTCTTCATTGCTGTGAATGTGGGCCTTGTGCTTTCAAAGGTCAGTGCCTGTGAGCACATCATGGTTTCGAGTGGGTTCCTATGGTAATCAGGCCAGTGTGACTGAGGGCATTTTGTGTCCGACAGCAGGGTGCTGGATTGCCGTCCTTCTCTGAGCCTCATGTTGTTTCCTGCAAATGTAACTCTTTCTGTTTCGCCCCTTTTCTTCCTTTCTGCACCACACTTAGGTCTGGAGCCAGGGACTCCCTCAGCAGGTATGGTCTTCTTGCATTCTTGCTGTCTCTGCCTTCCATGGGGGTGGGGGGACCTGGATTAGGAGAGCCAGGGAGTCTTCCCGGGAATGAGGGGTTTTTGTTTTGCTTTTTCTATCTCTCAGATGATTGGAGGCTTTCTTCCAGCGCTGATGCCAATGGGAACGCCCAGCCTTCTTCGCTCGCTGCCAAGGGCTACAGAAGCGTGCACCCCAACCTTCCTTCTGACAAGCCCCAGGTAGGCATGTGCCCAGGGGTGGGGGGTGGGGGTGGGCTTCTGGAGTGGCGCCTGTTGTTGTGTCTTTTGGCTAAGACTTGGGACTTCTGGCTTGCCCAATCTATTGTGAAATAATTTCCAAGCATTTGGGGCAGTTCTGTAAGGACCAGAATTCTGGGGAGAGTTGGGCCATGGGGAAGCAGAGGTGCGGGATGAGGCTGATCTGCACCAGGGCATTGGGAGTGAGCCCGGTGTTTTCTTGGTTTGATGTGTGCATGGAAATGGTCTCAACGAGGGCATGCTAGTAGCCCAGAATAAGTAGGAAAGAAGTCTGAGCTTGGCTTCGAACACAGCTCTGTACGGTGTAAGACTGAGGAGTGCATCTTGTGTTCAGTGCATTGATCTGGGGGAGTTGGGCTGTCAGTGTGCAGCGACTGTGTCCCTGAGGACAAAGGCCAGGTAGCGTTTCCCAGGTCCAGAGCCCAGCTGCACCCTGCAGGAGAAAACCCCGCAAAGCTGTACAACTTGCAGTGGGCATCATTTTGCTTCAGCCTCTCCTGCTAGGTGGTTTTCCTGACCTTTCTTTCTCCCTCCTCTTTCTTGCTACTTTGCTATTTTGGTGAAAAGAACAGACCCTGTTTTGATGCAGATGATCTATGAAGAACGCTTCTACACAGAGGAGCCACAGCCGTGGAATGCAGCAGCCTTTAAGCTGGGCTGATCAGAACACACTGCAGAAGTGTGTTCCTTGGGTGGGCACTTCCCTGTGCCCGCCTCCCTCTGTGAAGGCGCTCCCAAACTCACAAGGAGCCTGCAAATTCCACGGGTCCTTCCTCATTTACACTGGGCCCTGAGAGGAAGCCGAGTCAGCAGGGATGGCTCCTTCCTCTGCAGACGCCTCTTTTCCCAGGCTGAGAGCTGGCTGCTGTGTCTTGTGTGCTGGGGAGCCGTTCTGTCAGCCGCCTCTACGCGCTTCCCTAAGTACAGCTGCACGCATCCAGGGCCACTGGTCAGAACCAGCAGCTGCAGAGGGGCCCAGCTTCCCAAGGTCCCTGTTAGACATGGGCACAGGGAGATCACTGGGTCTCCATGGCTTGCCCTAATTTTGCCACCTTCCCCAGTGTGCTGCCTGTGGTGGACACACTTCAGCCATCTCCAGAACGGATGCAGTCGGCTCTGTCCATACTAGGAAACAGTGCTGATGAACACAAGTCAAATGTAGTGGCACCTCATGGTCCACTGTCAGTGAATTAGTGCAGCAGGCAGCACAGTAATTCCTGTGGCTTCCTTTTTTTTTTTTTTTTAAATTATCTGAAAAGCAGAGTGACACACAGAAATAAAGACAGAAAGACAGACATCTTCCATCTGCTGGTTCACTCCCCAGATGGCTACAACGGCTGGATAGGTCTGGGCCAGGCTGAAGCCAAGAGCCAGGAATTCTACCTGGGTTTCCTGTGTGGATTGTGGGGGCCCAAGCACTTGGACCATCTTCTGCTGCTTTCCCAGGAACATTAGTAGGGAGCTGGATCAGAAGCGAAGCAGCTGAGACTCAAACCGGCTCTGATACAGGATGCCAACATCATAAGCTGTGGCTTAACTTGCTGTGACACAGCGCTGGCCTCCTCTTTAGATTTCTTAAACACCTCTTCTTAAGAGATCATTTTAAAAACATGTGCAGTAAAGAAAAATTCCTTTTAAATGCATTTGCATAACACCGTGATTGAGCTTCTCTGTAGTGCTTGGGTCACTGTTCACGTTACCCTCCCAAGCAGTTTGCAAGGGCAAACCTTACAGTGCAGGCGAGCATCCCATAATAGCCCCTGTGGATAGCGTGCTTTCTTACCTGTCGCTCTGTAAGGATTTCCTTCTTCCTGGAGTTTCTTTAAAGGAACTGATAAACTGCTAAAATAAAGCTTTTATTCGGCACATTCAGGGTAAATTTGGCCATCCAAATTTCCAGACTCCTTAGGCCACGCATTACTTCTTGGATTTGTTCCCTGAACGCAGACATGACTTCTTGTCTGCACGGCAGACAGAGCTGTGTAAGTATGCACTGGCTGCGACAGAGCCCTAGTGGGCTGGGGCCTGCCCTGGCTTGGTGTCAGCTAAAGGAAGCTCCCAGGCCCCTTGGAGGCCTGTATCTCCTCCTAGGGACAGACTTGGCATCCAGGAGACCTGTGGGCCAGATGGGAGTCCTGTCCTGCCAGCCTGGCCCCTCTGCCCTGCTCCAGGAACAGGGAACCAAGGTTTCCCTCTCTGTGACATCAGCATCATCGTGGCCATGTCCAGCCGGGGTAGGGGTTAGTAGGTTTTGGAACCGTGTAAACTAGAAACATACTGGAATCTCTCAGGAAGCCTCATTTTTTCACTGACTACCTTCTCAGAGCATAAGTGAAATTTTATCAGTAGCCAGCCAAGCAGGGATACAAACTGCCCTTGTGGTTCCTGCAGTGTTTACAATAAAACAAAAAGCAGTTCTTTCCATGTAAAGTCGCTGTGCCTGTCCCCTTCCTTCTTTAGGCCTAAAGGAGGCCCCAGGACGGAGGGACTTTGACTCCGAGTGCCGTGTCAGCACTCTGGGGAGGCGTCCTTGCTGCAGATCAGAGCCCTGGGAAGCCCATGCCTGGTGCAGTGCAGTCCTGATGCCATATATGGCCACAGCCAAATTAACTTAAAAACTCAGTGAAACAGATTTCTATCTTTGGACAAGAAGGACTCACATGTGGGACATTTGAGCTCAAAGTAAAAACAAATCTGAGCCCAAAGCTAAGTGGTCTTTTGCTCACCTCCTTAACAGCTGCCGTCAGCTCACCTGGCTCTCCCAGTGGTGTGTGGCAGTCCACATGTTTTGTTTCTAGGGAGCATCCTTTAGTCTGCAAACATGCCCCAACCTCCAGTCCAGGTCCACTGGCACCAAATGAGTTCCTTTGCAGGCTTTTGCCCTTGCTGACTCGCAGAGCGGGACTGTTCATTTTCTAGCTTGGCTGGTACGTGTGGCTCCGTTCTGGGTGTGCTATGGAAGGGACAGGCATTGAGCTAGCTGAGGAGACCCACACAGCTGCTTGCCCATTCAGGTTATTTGAAAACTGAGTTCTAAGATTCCTCGCTGCTTCTGGGTTCAGATTCTAGCCCAGAGTCATAAACTTTGTTTTATTTCTTGTCTATTCATCCTTCCTAACATCCCTTGCTGACCATGCTCCAAAAGATATAAAAAGCAAAACATGATTTAAAAATCAAAGTAGACCCACACCCCTGAGCCACCACAGTTTTGGGTTCCAACCCATTGGCCAGGCATTAACCAAACTCAAACTGGCCTCACCTGTGCAGTCTGGAGGAAGGTTTTGGCTTTCTTCTGGCCCTGGGATATCTGGGGACGTGAACTTTCCTTGTCTCATGGACTGATTCCCCATTGAGCCACAGGTTGGCAGGTGGTCATCAGCTGGAGAGTCCTCCATTTCCTGACCCTCTTACCTGTTGTGGCCCAAGAGGAGGGGTGTCTGGGGCAGAGGGACAGAGATGGGAACTGTAGCTCTTTAGCTCTGGACCTGTAACCAGAGCTCTGGGCTTAAGCCATGATTCCAAGGCTGCTTACTCACCTCTGGGATTGATTCTCTGTACATGTGATGGGCATGCTGGGGCTGGAATTTGAGAAACCAGGCACAGTTAGTCTGGTGGCTGATGACATGTGTTGTTGCCTGGTCCCTTTTTCTTGTGCATCAGAGCTGGGAGACTACGTGCTTTTAGTAACAGTGCGTCAGAGTGTCTCCTCTGAGCAAAGAGCACATGTGTGTTCAGAGTCCTCAGCATTTTCTTCGTGGTCAGCTCTAGTTTGTTATGGTTATGGAATCAAGTGCCAAATCTCAGTGGCTCCATGAAGATATCTGTCTTGGGAACACAAAGAAATGTAGTTATTTCAATTCTCCTTTCCCTGAGAGAAAAGAATGAGAGACACTCCAAAGAGTTCCAGTGAACTTAAACTTAAAAAAAAAAAAAAAAAAAATTAAAGGGCAGTGAGACAGAGAGAGGTCTCCATTCTCCTGTTCATTCCCCCAAATGCCCACAGCAGCCGAGCCTGGGTCAGGCTGATGCCAGGAGTCCAGAAGTCAGCCTGGGTCTCCCCTGTGGGTGGTAGGGACTCACCTGCTGCCTCTCAAGCTGTGCATCAGCAGGAAGTTGGAATCAGGAGCAGAGCTAGGAATCAAATGTACGCACTCCAGTATGGGATGCGAGAGTCCCAGGGGGCATCTTAACCACTGTGCCAAATGCCTGCCCCCGCTTACACTGTTAAAGCCAAAGTCTTAATGAGGAAAGTAGGCCTGAGAGGGAAGGGGCGGGGCTGGGGGGGAATCCTTCCCAGGGCATTTGGCTCCCTTGACACCACTGTCGAGTAAGGAAGGCAAATAAATAAAGATGCAGTCGGCTGAGGACTGGCCTCAGAAGTGACTTAGCATTGTGGGCCGGGCCCAGCCTCCCCAGGAGTAGCAAGCAGCAGGCCAACCCTCCAGGGGACTCAGATTCAGAAGAGAAGTGTGGGCGCCACGGGGAGTCTCACCAGAAGGTTTTGTTTCAGAGTGCGTCGTGCTGTTTTTTCTAATGGTCAACCTTCTTTCCATGTTCCCTCCTCTTCCTCTCTTCTTTTCCCTGTTTCAATATCATGTCTTGCAAATACCACTCCAGGTTCTCTGTCCCCCTAAAGTGGCGTGCTTTGCATGGCAGCCGCCCACTACGTGCAGTCCCCACAAGGGCTCCCTCCGCGTGAGCTCACCAAGGCCTTACATCCCACTCAGCACCCCTGGCCAGCAGGACCCCTCACAGTCCGAGCCCAGCTCTGTGCCCCTGGCAGCCAGATCTCACCTCAAAGACATGGTGTGCCCTGGTGCCTTGCTTACGGATTCCACTTTGCCCTGTGCTTCGTCCCCATCCCAGCACCACTCTGCAGCTACCAGGACAGTTGATAGCAAGACTGTGAGCTCTAACCCACGTCATGGGCCAGCTGGGAGTAAAAAGGTCAGCAGCTTATATGTCCCTTGTTTATCCAATAACATTCGCCGGGCGGCATCGGAAACGTCCTCTGGTGCTGCACGTGACCTGGCCAAAGGCACTGCCCTGGAGGCTGCAGGCACCCGAGCACCAGCTCCCAGCCCTGTCTCCTGCACAGCCGGCACAGGAAAGGCACCCCCTGCTCCTCCTCTTGACTCTCCCAAGCTACTCTTGGACATCTGTAGAGATGCCGGTGGTGAGCGTCCTTCCCTGGGGACTCAGGCTTCCTTCCTGGATGCAGTGAGACCACCCGTGCTAGGCCCCCAAGGTACCTCCGATCCTGAAAACTGGAGGAGCCAAGAGCCTTCCCTTCTGCAGCCGTGCTGTCCAGCCAAGGCAAGGAAGTGGGAATGTCTGTGTGTCTCCTGCCCTGTCTCCTCCGAAACTGACCAGACCGGCTTGTTTGTTTGTTTGCGGGCTGCCCTCCCTCCCTTCTCTTTCCTCATTAATGTTGCTGTGGCTCTAATCCCAAGTTCCTCTCTCTAAGCATCTCAGCACAGACCTCTGTCTGTCTCCCTCTCTCTTTTCTGTAAATGTGCTAAGTGTGTCAGCATGTGGAGCCCACAGACTAATATTGTGGTGAGATGACTCTGTGTGTGTGTGTGCGTGTGTGTGTGTGATGACAAGGTGCCAAAGAAACTGCATTTACTTGCAAGATTGCAGGCTATCCAGAGGTTCTGTGGGGTTAATCACAGCCTGCCTGCCTGTTCTGTTGTTCTTTCTCTCTCTTGTAAAGTGTTAAAAGGATTCAAAAATAGATGGGCAGAAAGTAACCTTGGCCAGAGCTCCCTCTGGGTCAGGGGTAGCAGGAGGCCAGCTGGCCAGCACCCACTGTCTCAGGGATCGGAGGCAAGGGCACCAATTAGATCCTTCTCGGAGTACATCACTGCGTGCCCACCTACGACTGTTTACGTTCCGGACTCACGGTCGCCTGCCGCAGCCCTTGGTGTAATGACCCCCTTATTTCTCGCAGGATGCCTCTTCGTCCAGCCCGGCCAAGCCCGAGGTAATAGTTGTCCCTCTCTACCTGGTTAATACCGACAGAGGGCACGAAGGCACGGCCCGACCTGCAGCGCCCCCGGGCACGCCGGGCTGCGTCCACCCGGTGCCAGCCACCGCCTCTGCCGCCTCGCCTCTGACCTTCCCGACTCTAGACGATTTCATTCCCCCTCACCTGCAGAGGCGGCCGCACCCCAGCCCGCCAGCCAGTGCTTGTGGCTCCTTGCCCCCCGGTAGCCACACGCCACCATCCTTCTCACCACCACCTCCGCTGGTCCCTCCGGCCCCGGAGGACCTCCACAGCGGCTCGGAGCCCGACCTCACGGGAGCTGTTCCAAGTACCGTAAGCTTGCCGGCCCCCTCCCACGGCCTCCCCGGTGCCTGCGCCCTCCCGGCGGTGACTGCGCGCCTCTCGCTGCACTGCTCCGTGCCTGTGTGATGGCTCAGCCGCGCTGGCTGCCCCTCCAGTGCATGCTCCCCGGCGTGTCCCCAGCCCTCCTGCCGCTGCTCTCCCTTGCTGTCCTGTCTCCCCGAGAGCACTTTCTTCCCCTGCGACCTTCCTGGGCCAGGCAGGTGGGGCCGTGTGCAAAGCGGAGTGGCACGGGGTAAATAGGCGGGGGGCTTCCAGCAGGCAGCAGGGGGTGCTAAGGAGGAAGAGGCCTTTGGAGATGTCCGTGAACAGACTCTCTGTTATCTCAGAAACAGCAAGGACTGGGATGAAAAAAGTTGAGAGAGTTGAGACTTCACGGAGCAAAGGGGTCTGTCCAAGTGTTAGGAGCTTCAACCCAAAAGGCTAGAGCCCTGATGGGGAGGCTCTGGGGCCCCAGTGCTCATGGACTTCAAAGGGCCCTGGCACTGTGGGCCATGGGTGATGAGGCCCTGTCCCTGGGGGAGAGCCCAGCTGCTCTAGAGAGAAAGCTGAGCCAAGGTGCTTGTGTCTCCCTTGCCCTCCTGAGCCCTGGGAACTGAGAGAATTTAAAGGGCTCTCAGGGCGGGGCATGATTTGGGGACACCCGGATCCACTCACAGGGCTGTCAGTTACGGTGGGATCCAGTAGATGTTAGCTACAGTGCCAAGGACTTGCCCTAAGAATGGGGGCCGGTCACTCAGCAGTAAACTTGCTAATGAACAGTGAACCCTCGGGTGCCTGCCCCGTCTGGCTACCTTGGGTACAGCTGTGAACGGGTCAGGGCCCTGCTCTCAGACGCTGGGCAGTGCATCAGGTCACGTGGAGGTGGGTGGGGCCACCTGAGGGAGAGCTAGGCTTGACTGAACGGCCAGCTCTAGTCTTTCCTCCCAGAGTTTCCAGTTCAGTGGGTCTGGGAAGAGGTCTAGGATGCCCATTTGGCAGCATGTACCCCGTGGGTTCCTAACGCTGGGGTCCACATCCCGCATTTTGAAATGCAGTGATCTGGTGAGGCAGACGTATTCCCTGGCTCCCCTTTGTGGAAAAAAGTGTGCCCACCCAGCTGGCCCAAATGGCTTGTTAAGCTGAAGCCAACCATGCAGAGACAAAGAGGGAAACTTTCTATTTGGCCTGCAGGAGAAATTATAATGAGGCATGAGGCACAGTGAAGCCACGAGCTGGTCCATCCCTGGGCGGGGACCTCTACTCGAATCGGTCAGGACCAGGCCACAGCTGGCCCACAGGCGTGGATGTCCCTCTCTCCCCAGTCTTTGCAGCTCAGCTCTGTTGGAAGAAGATGCGAGATTATTCCCTGATGCCCCCCTGCCCCTTGCTCAGCTGAACGTAGAACTTAGAAGCCACTCTTGTTTTGGGGCGTGCAAGCATCGTCCCCTTGCACACAGTGTCTCCCCAGCAGGAGGTGGAGGGACTCTTGCATGTAGGGCCCCCATACGCCACTGTATGTAGTTTTGTTGTGACCTATAATGTATCATCTGTGTAGCTCCAGGTTTTCACATCCAGTTTGTTTGAGGTGCCCAGAACAGAGTAGACAGGGGATTGTCCTCAGTTTGTCAGACCCCACTAATCAGCCTGCTATAGACTACCCAGAGGACTTCAGCTGGCCCCATGTCGTCTGGTTTTGCCCAGGTCACAGCATAAGAGATGCGGAAGGGACACTGCTTAGAGTCTGTGTGACAGTTGATGTCACCATGGGTGGTGTTTGAGCCTTCCTTGGTACCTGCTCCGTCTGCAGGAGAGTAAGAAGGAAGAATGAAAGTGTTAATTGATCTGAGTTCTTTCCACCACTGGCTTTTTTTGCGATGATCGAGAAATAAGGCACAGTAAATTTGTAAAGTGCTTCATGCTCACATTAGGCATTTGTGCTTTAAAGAGCTGCATGCCTGATATTTTGTGTTCCTATGTGCATCCTGGCAGAGTTTTTTTTTTTTAAGATTTATTTAATTTATTCGAAAGAGTTACAGGGAGAGGTAGAGCCAGAGAGAGAGAGAGTTCTTCCATCCGCTGGTTCACTCCCCAAATGACCACAATGGCCAGAGCTGAGCTAATCTGAAGCCAGGAGCCAGGAGCTTCTTCTGGGTCTCTCACGTGGGTGCAGGGGCCCAAGGACTTGGGTCATCTTCCACTGCTTTCCCAGGCTATAGCAGAGAGCTGGGTTGGAAGTGGAGCAACAGCTGGGACTCGAACCAGTGCCCATATGGAATGCCGGCCCTGCAGGCCAGGGCTTTAACCTGCTGTGCCACAGCGCCAGCCCCCTGGCAGACTTTTCAGTGATACGACATTTTCTTTATTGTATCACTTTGGAGGTAAGTTAGGAAGAGTGTAATTATTTTTTCCACTTTCCAAGTGGCAGAATTGAGATGCGGCACTTTGTACAAGATCATACCATGCCTCTTAGGTCTTGGAGAAAGAGTTTGTTCACTGAAAGGGCTGTTGCTCCTAATGGCAGTGGCTGTTTAGGGCCCTTTTGGAAGAGAGAGATGGACTCAGGCAGTGGTTGTGAAGCCCTACTGTGTGTGGAGCTGTCCTGGGTACTGACACGCACATTCTCTCCTCTGATGAGCTCATGCTCTCTCGCTGCAAACTGTTGGTCACACAGGTCACACAGGTGAGTCCTGTCCTTCATGGGATGTTCACTGAGCATCTGTTGCCTGCAGGGCATTTTGCTACGTGCTCGGGGAGAGGGGAGAGTGACAGGAGGAAGGGTGCCTGGCCCTCATTCTGCAGGTACTTACACAGTTCATCCCTGATCTAACATAATGATTGTTTCAAGATTACCTATCAAAATTTTGTCCTCAAATCCCTTTAAGAATGCCCTCCTGGGTTAATGGTTTATAAATTCCAAAGTAACAGCCTTTGTAAATACATAGAGATGATGGAAGAGGCTATCTAAATAGACTTACTACATTTTGGAGGTCTTCGCGTTTGTTTAAAAACGCCTGGCATTATCCCCATCGTGCAGATTATAATGTTCATATTAATCATTGTATTGGTATTTCTGGCAGAGACCTCAGGTTTCTAAAGTCAGGATTCTCACAAGTCTTTACTTCAGGGATTTTTGTCACTCTAATTTTAGAATGAAAAAATGTCACAGTAGGATAGGATAAGATCCAAATCTCTGCAGCCAGCATTAGTAAAATTGCTCCGTGGTTCTGATGCTAAGAGCAGCTTTCTGAGAGAACTGTTACTTAACTCTTCCCTCTTCTTCCATCCGTGTCCTCATGTTCTCAATCTCTCGACACAGAACACTAAACTGCCCTGATCTCTCCCAACTCAACCAGCTCTTGTTCTTGGATCTCCTACGGAATGGCATGGGTCTTGCATGTTGCTCTACTCTGATTGGAATTTGCCTTTTCAGTAACCAGATTGACTCACAGCCACTACCGGGTGAAACCAATGAATGATGTTCCTGAGATTTTCAGTAACATTCGCCTCCTCCCTCTCCCTTACTAATTACCAACAAAGAATAAGCATTCCGGATAAAAATCTCTAACTGGAATTAATGATGTGATGCGTCTCATTGATTATGTTTCTTTTTATAATTAAGATCTGTATGTAAAACTTCACATTTCTTCCTTTGAAAAACGTTGGCTCCCGGTTTCTGGTATCTAGAGCTGGTTACAGTGTGTGCTTCCTTTTCAGGGTTCCAGTCCTCTGCTAAATGAAGTTTCTTCCTCCCACACTGGAGGCGACTCCCAGGCCTCCACGCCCGTGAGCAAGCCCTCCTCGGCCTACCCCTCCACCACCATCGTCAACCCTACCATCGTGCTCTTGCAGCACAACCGAGGTGAGAGCTTCCCACACACCCTTACCCAGGTCGCTGGCATCCAAACAGCTCATCCCTGACATCGGGGACAGGGTTTCCCTTGGCCCAGAGCAACGACCGCAGATCCCGCCCTGGGCCTTCTGCCTGTTTATGCAGTCCCAGGGCCCACAGAACTGCCAGCAGGCAGAGGGGCCCCCCTCTTTTGGGGTGGTGTCTGAGTGAGCAGCCTGGGCCAGCGCGTGTTCCACACTTTGGGTATTCATGGTAGTCTTCTTTGGAAGCTAACATCAGAAAAGATAAAAAAAAAGAAAAAAAGAAAGGTAAAAGCCTCCTCCCACCCTTAGTAGAGTCACAGGAGCAGCTCTCCCGCCTGCTGGTTCCAAATGGCCTGCATTATCCGGAACTGGACCAGGCCTGTGCTGGGAACCAGAAACCCAATCCAGGTCTCTCGTGTGGGTGGCAGTGACTTCAGCCAACACCTGTTAGCCTCTTAGGGTCTGCCTTGGCAGAAAGCTGGGGTCAGGAGCCAGCTAGGAATCAAGCCCAAGCACTCCAATATGGGACACAGGCATCTTAACTGCTTAGGCTAAATGCTCACCCCAGATTTGTGTCTCTTAATTCATCATCATGCAAATTCTAATGTGGCAATTTGCATAGAAAATCTAGGTACAATAATCTCTTTTTTAAGTAATGTCATTAATGATTTAGTTCTTTGACATAGTTTTCTAGAGGGCAGAATTTTAGGGTACCTAGATTTTAAAAGGCAGCATACTAGATTGAAAAATTTCTAAAGCACGAAGCATGTTTTTGTGCCTCTAGACCAGAGCGACGGAGCTGTTCTCAGTGGCTCAGCACCGCAGGTTGCTGTGTAGTGTCGCCTTCTGGGGACTTTGGTTTCCGGGGCTGTTTGCCTTTCCACTGCGTGGCCCCAGTCAGCTCAGTCCAGAGCTTCCTTGTCTGTTTTCTGAGGCTGCTGCTAGTTGGTTTCTCCCCTTGGATTTGAGTGACACGGTGGAGGTTTGCGGGAATAATGGTGTGTGTTGAGTCTTTTGCCTGAAAATTCCAAGCAGTGCATCTCGATTCCAAGTTTTCCCTTTTGGAATCCCACGGAAGAATAAGTGTCCCCTCTGCAGGGGTCCTTTGCAGCTTGCACTGCGGTGTTTTCAGGCTGTTCCCCAGGGTCTTGTCTGAATTTCAAAGGGCCCTGGAAGCTTCCTTGTGTTCAGAGCTCTGTGCCTGTGACCAGGTCTTCCTTTGCCTGACTCCCTGCTCACCAACTTCATTCTTTTCCTCCCTTCCCTCTTTCTGTGCTAGCCAGGATGAGAATGGGACCAGCATCTATTTTTAATTATTTTCCATGCTAAGAGTTTTCTGTTTCCTGCTTCTAACTTGAAAAGTGGATGAATAAAACATTTTCTGTCAGTTAGAATCTTCCCACTCAAAGCTTAAATAGTTGGCTTGGTAGTCCCAGGTCGGTCCCCCCCCCCCCACACACACACACTGTGTGTGGCTTCCATATTAATTTTCACTCATGACTCCATGGTCTTTACAGGATGAGAAGTGTCCCCAGCCCCCACACTGGCCACGTGGGAGCCCATTCTCCTCCCAGCCCTGCCCTCTGCCTTCTTGGCAGTCGCTAACCTTGCCCAGAGACTGTCTATAAAACAAGACAAAGCAAAGTTTTCGGTTTTCTATGAACTCCTTTATGACTCATTTTTCTTTTTTAAATCCAAACAGAAGCGAGTTGGTTCCCAGAAGGAAAGGCAGTTTCTTTAAAAATGGGATTTATTCCCGAGGCAACTTGTTTGTTGTCGGGAAGTGCCAAGTGCAGTGCCAGCTGCTTCTACACAGCCCTTCTGACGACACCGAGTGTGACATCTCTGGGCACGGAAATGCCTGCCGTTCCTTTGGGTTTCTTCCTTCAGCGAACGACTTCCTCCTTTTGACCCACATACCTTCAGCTCTTGCCCTTTTCCTTTGTCCCTGGGCTTTAAAACTCAGAGTGGTGCAGCCTGAGATGCACATCCCTCAGGAAAGGATCTGAGTGTTGGCGTTAGGGCTTTTGGTTTTTGTGTTGTTGTTGTTGTTGCTGCTGCATTAAATGATAGCTTCCCATAGAGAGCAAAACCAAATGTTCACCAAGCAGGAGGGCAGGAAATGTGAATAGCTGAACCCTGCTGGCCCTGGCCTGTGCTGCTTCTCAGACATGGAGTGGAGGTGTGAAGGGGTGGAGGTCAAGCTGCAGAATTTACCGGCCTGGCAGCCCCGCCTAACCTGTAGACAGGACCCTTAGAAACAGTTTCTTAACGATTGCAGATTCTCCTGAGGGACGGATAACTCTGCTCCACTTCTGGAATTCTCATTTAGTCATCCTAAAAAAGTTCTCTTTTTTTTTTTTCTTTCTGTACTTGGACACAGTCTGACAACAATCTGACCTCCCCACACCAGCCTTCCCTGCTAGGAACAGAGGGGCACGGAGCCTGCGGCTGATGGTTGGGAAGAGCACGGCCCCCGTGCCCTGCCTCCTAAGTTTTCATGCCACGTGTGTTTGGGAGCAAATCCCTGACTGTCTTTCTGGGAAGGGGGCTTTGACTTGGGAAACTCTGAGCACCGAAGGAGGTGCAGGGGTGCCCCTCACGCAGGGCTTCTTGGCCTTTCATGTGCATCCGATCCTGGGGTCTTGTTAGCTGGCAGGTGCAGAGTCAGGATGTCATGGGGGAAGGGATGGCGGGATTCTGTGTTTCCAGCAAGCACTCTGGGCTCACCAGGTCTGCTGGCCCATGGGCCACACTGGAGAGCAAAGGGCTTGGTGGTTCCCAGACTTAGCTGTGGATACATGAAACAGTCCTGGGATTGCCCAGGGTTACCAGTTGCTAACTTGGCTGAATAACACCACTGAAAACAGTCATGACTGCCGGCAGGGTCGTGCTGTTGCACACTTCCAAAGCAGAAACAACATCGTTGTTTACACTGAGTGTCGGTCACTTCTGCCAGCTGCAGAGGGTCCTGCCTACAGCCTGCAGAGTAGAGTCTGGGGGACCCATGGATCCTCTTACATACCATGGAGCACTTTAACAGATGAGGAAACTCAGGCTGAGGGTTCTGTGATCAGCCATTGTCATCTGGCTGAGCCTGGTGTCTCACTGGGCCTCTGCCGGTCCAGCGAGCATTCAGATGGGCCCAGTGGCAACTTTCCCTGGTCGTGAGCTCCCAAGCCGCTCTGTTTACTTCTTGCCCCCACTGATTCTGGCAGGAGGGTGGGGATGCGGCTTAGGGGTGGGGTGGGTGATGACAGCACCCATGGGCTGGCTGGCGCTCTATTTTTATCTATGTGGCTGCTTTATATTTAGCAGCTGGGGATGGTGAAGGTCATTTTTGTGCTTAGCTGATAGCAAGTACATACTGGACTATCCAAGAGAGACGGTGGCTTCCCTTACGTGCCAGAGCCCAGGAGGCTGAGAAGCTGCTAGAGTGGAGAATCAAGTGGAGAGTCAAGCTGGAAACAGCCCTCAGAGCTGGGGGTGCTGAGTTCTAGACCCGCCTGATTTTCAGTGTAATCTTGGAGAATTTGTGCCCCGATCTGAGATCTCCTGAACAAAGCTGCTTTTTTTTTTTTTTTTTTTTAAGTGATTTCTCCTGTACCTTGAACCAACCAGGTAGAGGCTAAGACTGTGCCTTAGTTTTCTTAGTCTTCTTAGTCGTCTACCCCAGGGAGAATAGTCACACCTGAATGCTAGGGTTGTTGTGCAGGTTCCAAGTGTTCTATGTAAAGGCTGTTAAAACAGTGCCTGGCTCATAGGGGCACCATGGCTATAGTTAAGATTAATTTTTGCGAGCAGATACCAAGACAGATTACAGAGGTCTTGCCCGTTGAAGCCAGTGGGTCCAGAGGGTCCCCCTATGTGACGAGATCATCTGAGGGCAGTGGCAGCCCCAGGCCTGGTGCAGCTCTGGAGGAGGCACCAGGAGACACCCTGCCCGGGTAATGGGAACCACAGTGACAGTTGTGCCTGTGGCTGAGCTGCCCACTTCAGCGTCTAAGCCTGGGGGACGGGGTGAACACAGGGCTTGGGATGCTCATGGCTTGTGGCAGGACTCCGTGGGCCCCCCCGTGTGCTGTGTGAATCTCACACTCTGTTCTTTTCTTTTGTCACAGAACAGCAAAAACGACTCAGTAGCCTTCCAGGTAGGTGAGAAACATTTGTTTACATGCTAACCCTGAATAGTTGAAGCTATCTTTTGGTGACCACCTGATGCTCAGTGAGCACCAGTGTCCCGAGTGCCTCACATGGGGTAGGGACACTGCTTGCTGTGGGACTTAAGAGATTCGAGAGACAGGGATGGGCCCTGCCTCCTGGAGTGGAGCTTGCTGGCCAGGGTAGACCAGGCAGATGAACCAAACTAGCAAATGTGCATCCCGGGGACTTTGACCCAGGCCAGGGAGGGTAAGCACTGGGCCCAGGGCTCAAGAATTGTGCTATAGATGCAGTGTCCATAGCAGGCCTCTCTGAAGAGGTCACCTCCTGGCCTTTGTCTCTCTCCCAGGACAGAGCAGGTGGGACTGGGGCACATGGGCAGGTGCCTTCCTTTCTGTGCCGAAATACGCAAGTAGGTACCTTCAGGGTAACTGTGCCCCGAAGCAGGCGCAGATGCCTCTGCAGAGAGTGCCACAGCTCAGATTCCCGGGGTTGGGTGGGAACGCGTGTTTCTCACCCGCTCCCCTGTAGTGCCAACACTGCTCTCTATGCTCGCCACACTTTGCCCGGCCATGCGTCAGGAGGTGCTCAAGGTGCAGGGTGACTTAGGCACAGGCAGGTACCCAGGCTCAGTCCCTGGTGAGGTGCATGGGACTAGGATGGTGTCGGGGTAGGGAGGGAACAAATGTGTGCTGAAATCCCTGGGAAACCCAAAGCTGGGAGGGTTACCCTTTCCTTCGGGCTTCCTGTAGCCATTTTGCCCTGAACCCTGGTTCCCCTGTTGACTAATGGCTGGTGCCACCTCAGGCTGGCTCCTGAATGTCCCTGGGCCGCAGTCTTCGTTGCTGTCACTGGAGAAAGCAGTAGTGCCTTGCAGGTCATTGTGAAGACCAAGTGAGCTTCTGGGTGCTGAGCAGTGTCATTCACTGAGCACGCGTGGCTGTGAGCTCCCGTGGTCAGCAGGTGCTCCTCGGAGGCACTGGCCATTCTCTTGAGTGCCTCGTTTGTCACCTTCCTGTGCCCTGGGCTCCCTGGAGAATCCCATGAAGGTAGTGGATCCCTTGTCCAGTGTCACACGTGAATTCCAGGGTGAAGAATCCCCACACTGGTGGGTAACCAAAGCCACCGTTTCCTGAGCAGCTGCCATGTGATGTCTGTGACTTCTTCCCACTGCTGCCCTCGTGATTTGTGGAGCGCCCAGGTGGCAAGAACGGGGGTTCTCACGTGTTCCCACCCTTATCAGGGCTTGGTGCCCCCTGCTCAGGCTGTGACACTCCGGCCCACTTGATTCTCTGGCTCCAGCTCAGATGGCACTGAGCATGATGGCTCTGAAAGGAGAAAGAAAAGTGGCTCCCGTGGGCTCCTTCCTGCCTGTGTAGGATTGAGAGGAGTGGTGGGATAAATGAAAAAGACATCCAGCCACACGCCAGGAGATCCAGAGTTTGGTCTTGGCCTTCCCTCCCCAGGGCTGTTTGTCCCTGGGTAAGTGATGTCACCTCTCTAAGCCATGTTTCCTCATGTGGGCAGTGGGGTGACAATCCCTGCCCGTGACAGAAAGGAGGAGCGTGCTTCGCACCCCAGGAAAGGCCACGCAGAGGTGAGGGCTTCTGCACCTCGTGGGCACACTCCGGCCAGCTGCTCAGCTCTGGAGTGAGCTGGATGCTACCGGCCTCCCTGGCCCTGGGGATGGGAATGATGCCGATGGAGTGGGCTCACCAGTGTCAGTTGTTTCAAAAGATGTGGCGCCACAGTGCTCAGGAGCTCCTGCAGGAAGGAGCTGCCAGTGCAGCGTCCTGGTCTCTGCTTCTGCTTCTTGGTTGTCAGCAGAGGCTTGGGAGCCCCGGTGGGGCTCTGCTGCTCCGTGAGCGGCATCAGGAATGAACGCTTCCTGGCGTTTGGCCTCGTGTGGCTTGCACGCTCAGGCAGATGGGGAGATGAGCTAAGGGCTAGACCATAAGGGCTGGCTGGGGTGCAGGCAGGGGAACGGAAGCTGTGCTGTTATCGCCAGTCACAAGCTTTGGGTGTGGCAGAAAGGGAGGCCCTGGCTGAGGTCGTCAGCATCACTTATTCGGAGGCCCGAGACCTTCCTTGTTAAAGCATTATGTGAATCTCAAGGAATCGCCCCCGGCTGCCCTGAGCTGCACCGGAGTCTTCCTGGCGAGACGTGGCAGCGAGCCCTGCTTGTGACACAGGTGCCAGAGCGTGGCCCTGTCCCCTGCCTGGTCCAGCTGCCACCTTGGATTTTCTCTATTAAAGTTAACAGTCTTTGTAGTTCAGCCCTCCTTATCCGGAAACCCACTGGGTCATGAATTACGAACTTCTAAAATAAAATTCAGGGCCGTTGTTTTGTAATTTGGAAGCATTCTGGCAGCTCTGGGACAAAGCCATGGACTGCCAGCCTGGATTTTACTGTTAAGTGACTGTTGATGGAGCCATCGCCCTAACAATTAAAAAAAGAAATGACTGTGCGCCTAGCATCCTGGGAGTGGCGCGTCTGTCAGCATCTTGTAGTAGGAGGGGCCCGAGTGTCTCCAGCACGGCTGAGACAGAGCTTGCCATCAGCTCACCTGCCCCTCTGGAGGGTGCGGGAGGGTGCTCAGCACAGCCATGTGAAGGCGGTCTCTGGTCACTTGAGATCCCTTCGCACTCACAGGCGTCCTGCCCAGTCTTTGGCCTGACGCCGGGATTTCCTGGGCGCAGAGCTCGTCCCCTCGAGTGGGGCTGGCCTTAACACCTGTTCAAGTTTACGGTGCCGGTGCCAGGAATCAGGTTTTCCGAGGCACTCGCTAAGCTGAGTCTCCCATGGAATTATTGAGAAATCGTTCTGCCCTCACAGACTGGGCGTGCGCTTCAGAAGTTTGTTTGTGATCTGGGCAGAGTCACCTGTTGGGTAGACAGAGTGTCATAAAGGCCGAGCGTGCTGATGTCACTGTTGCACACACATTGCTGACTTTGTCCCAGCTCTGCATGGGCCCTGTGGTGCCAGCCTGCTCCCTGCACCTTCACCTTTCTCTCGCATCAGTCAGGGGACAGTTACTTCCCGGGCACCTGGCAGTGGCCGGGGCCTATTTCAGTGCCCTTCGTTATCACCCATGGCCTTCGCTGATAGCACTTCTCATGCCCCTGGCTTACACTTTTCTTGCCCTGTCTTCTGCTCTCTCGATTTCCTGCCTGACACACTCCTTCCTCCATACCGCCCTCCACCTCCACTTCCGTCCCCCGGCCTCTCCGATGCTCATCCCCTTCCCCGAAGTCCGGCACCTGCCCCTACCCTGCTGCCAAAACTGTCGCCTCAGCGTGCTCCTTTCTTCTGCCTAAGCTGCTGCCGCTGCCACTGCCACCTCTGCTTGCGTCTCGGGGGCTTGGAAGAGTTTACTGACCCACTTCTTGGCATCGTCTTCTCTGGCTTCATGGCACCTTGCTGGACCTTCTCGGTTCATCTCCGGGCCTGCAGATGCTCCCTCTCAGCGTGGGGATTCTTTTGCTTTGCAGCCTGTAATGTGGCATCCCTCAGTGCAGATGCTAGCCCTTCCTCCGATGCTGAGCTCATCTGTCTCATTGATGCCAGCCATCACTTTAGTGCCCATGGCTGCAAAACAGCACTCCTGCCAAGGCGTCTCACCTGGGTAACCTCTGTATTCCTCCTTGGGATCTCTAGGGCTTTTCTACTTGAGCATCTCGCGGTCTTAAAGGTACTATGGTCAGGTGGAAGCAGCCACGCCTCCTCTCCTTCCCAGCTCCTCTCTTTTATTAGGCCAGGCTCCCAGGCTCAGAACTCCAGTGGCTGCTTTGAGGGAGGCAGGACAGGAGATGGTTCTGAGAGGCCTGCTGCAGTCAGGTGCACCCTAGGCCAGATCCCAGCTTTGCCTTGTGCTGGCCGTGGGACTCCAAGCAGGGTATCTCTGTGCTTCAGTTCCTTTAACTATTTTTTTTTTTTTAATGAAAGGATGATTGTAGTTTCTTCCTCATAGGTTTACTATGAAAGATAATGTTAATAAAGAGTGGAGCAGTTCATTGCCTGGTACATAATTAGCTCAGAGGCCCCTGGCCCTTTGCTTATGCTATCTCCTTTGACAGGATTCTGATATGTTCCCCTTCATGGCCACAGGGCAGAGCACGATGCATAGTACCTGTTGGGTGCGGAGCAAATGCCTCTCCCATAGCAAATGACATGGCTTAGAATAGCAGATTATGTTAAGTAATTTTCTGATCTGTAGCTCACACTTGTGTGTTTATTAGTTCTCTATAACTTCTAATCTTGAACCAAATGAAATGAAATGTAACATACACTTAGCAAGGCACAGCTTTCTGAGTACTGTGCCATAAATTATCTTGGGAAGTCCTCTCATAGTATTGCCACGAGCTTTGCCAATGGGAATATTATCTCCATTTTGGTATGAGAAGGCTGAGGTACAGAAAAGTAGAGAAAAGTGACTCCCCCAAAATGAAACAAGAGCTTTCAAGTATTGGTTAGCCACCCTCTTGTAGTTCTATCTACTCCCTTAATTTCTAGAAAATTGGAACTACTTGGATGTTCAGACCACAGGGTGCATTGCTCCACGAGGCACTTATGGTCTTGGCAAATGTATTTTTTTAAAGGGCAAGATAGCAAATATTTTAAGTTTTACGAGCTGTATGGTTTCTGTCACATCTGCTCAGCTCAGCTGTGGTAGCCCAAAGGCATCTGAAAATAATATGTCAATGAAATGGTGTGGCTGGATTCCAGTGAAACATGACTTAGGAAAACCGGAGTAGCCAGCCCATGGGCCCTCGCTAGCTGACTCCTGCCCTAAGCAGAGCTGGTTTCAGTTGAAAATTAGCAAGCAGACTGCTTCCTAGTGGGACTGTTGGGGAGGCTTTTATGGCTTCACAACTGCCAGAAGAGCCGCAGCTAATGGTTGCTCTTTATTTCCAGATCCTGTATCAGAAAGAAGAAGAGGAGAGCAGGCCTCGGCTCCAGCCCAGGAAAAACCCACATCCCCTGGCAGGGCCGCTGAGCAAAAGACCAAGGATGGCGGCAGGCGGGTGGTTCAGAGCGCACAGGACCTGAGTGATGCGTCCATGGAAGCAGTGGGCATCCCACTCAGGGTACGCGTGTTGACCTGCAAGTCCTTTTGAGACTTTGTCTTGAACAGGCCACGACAAGCATGTACTCACGTGTGCATGTGAAACTCCCTGTGTGGGATCCAGAGGCCAGGGCAGTGGGCGGGGAGGGGCCTGTCTCACACTGTTGACTCTGCAAGCCCCCAGGAGCCGTGCTCTGGGCCTGCGGGGCAGCAGCTTTCCCGAGAGCAGAGGCAGGGTTCTCAGGAGTCTCCTGAGCAGGTCTCATGGTCAAATGGCCAGGAAGCTGCGTGGGACGAGGTCAGAGAGTTCTGTGCAGCAGAACTTCTGAGCCATTCTTGGCAAGCGAGCACGGGAGGGGAGCATGTTGCAAGCAGCCTGCTTTCATGACTGTCCTGTGGAGCCAGTTCAGAAATTCTTGGTGCAGGGTTAGAGAACCCCAGGGGGAGAATGGGGCCCAGGGTTCCTGTTCACAGGTTCAGGAAGAAGATCTCAGATGGATGACACCCATGATCCAGAGTGAGCAGGAAACCCTAGGGGAACCACGGAACAGATTCAGCCAGCCACAGCCTCCTGGGCGGAGCAGTTCTTGTGGCAGCCGGGCTCCGGCCCTTCCCCGCCTTCCTCCCTACACAGGCGTGACCCTCGGGCCCTGAGAAGCTCCAGGCCAGCCCAGTGTCTGACACCGCAGTCAGATGTATTCCATTCCTCTGTGATTTCCGTTTTGCAAAAGAATTGTTTTTTGCATCCCTTTGAAGGAGGACAGTAGACATGGCAGTGGGCCAAGCCTTAGAGGAACTGTTCTCTGGTCCTGAGTAATAATGCAGAAAGAAAAAATCTTACCAGGAGTCATCACAGCTGTCCCCTGAGTGCATTTTCTCACTTAAACATTTCTCCCCGAGGGAGTGGTGGGGACTGACAGGGCTCCCATTGTACTGATGAGCAAGCAGGCACTCAGAGGGGTTCTGTTACTTGTCCAGGGTTGCACACCATGGGGTGACAGAGTGGTCTGTCCACATCCCATCCCTGTGCCACTCCCCCTTGTGAGCCTTCTGCTCACTGCCTTGCCTGTCCTGGGGCCTTGGGCAGTTCTCCCTGGTGGTCTGTATCTCATTTCCTCATCTGTGAAGTCAGGGTGAAAATACCTGATCTCACCAGCTCTCTGTCTCCTCCCTTGTTTGCTCTTTATCTTTGGTGGTTGGGGTCGGGGGCAGCTTTGTGGTAAGCAAGACTGCTGTGGTGTTGGATGCGCTCCTGGGCTGCATTTCACTGCATGCATTCTAAGTCTGGCCCTGTACTAGGGGACTTACACTCATTTCTGTAGAATAACCCAGAATAGGTAGGGGCAGAGCAGAGTAAGTGAATGTGCCTCTCAGGCTCCTAGGAAGCTTTCAGGTCAGCATGGGCTACATATGAAATGAGATTCTCTCTAAGAGAGAAATTTTACCCAGTAAGAATGGACATATTTCAAGTGGATCTTTCTCCACTGTTTAAAAGTGTGCATTCTTTTGGTTAAATGGCAGATTCAGGTCTGAATCTCTGGGTTTGTCTGCTCTTTTTCCCGGAAGTTTCGCCGTAAGTGGGGCACGGTTGACTTCAGGTGTTGCCGCGTCCCTGTTTGATTTAATGATCAGTAAAGTTGTGAAATGTGCCAAGGTTTCCAATGTACTTTACTCTTTGCCTTTGTTTTTCTACAGAACACCGAGAGATCAAAAGACTGGTACAAGACCATGTTTAAACAGATCCACAAACTGAACAGAGGTACTGACTTTCACTTGTAGAAGCTGTGCTGTGCGCCATACCCCGACTGTTGCGGTGGGGGCCTGACCTCGTTTTGCTGGGAGACCCTGTTAGGTACTGCTCTGCCTCCGCCTGACCATGCACCTCAGAACACAGGGCAGAGGATGCAGCTGTGTGCCTGCCTCAGATGCGGAATTTGAGGGCTGCTCACAAGTCCTTCCTCCCAGATGTGGAGTGCAGCGGGCTGAGCCTGGCACGCCGCTGCCTGTGCTCCAGCATCCATCTGCCTGGGATGCGAACAGCGCCCACTCCCACCTGCTTCCAGCATTAGGTCCATTTCCCTGTGTCAGCCCGTGACTGCCTTGTGGGCAAAAGGAGTTGAGGATTCGCTGAACTGGCAATTAAGAAAATCCTGTTCTCAGCTAGATTCAGCCCCTCAAGCCCTCGTGGGACTATGGGCCTATCATTGTATCATTGTGCCCCACTGTGTTTGTCTTTCCTCTGAGGGACGTCACAGGGTCGCGACGAGAATACCAGTGGCCTTGTGAAGTGGCATGCCCAGTGCACCTGTAAGGCTGTGGTGATAGGAGAAGTCTCCTTAGTCTGGAGCCAGCCCCTGGTGGTAGCCCTGAGACTCAGTCAAGAGCTGACACACCAGAGCCTGCTCAGGCTAAACGATAAATGCTTCCAAACCAGAGGCCTACCGCATCAGCATGGCCGGAGAACCATGGGCCAGTGCTCAGGCGGCCCCAGCCCCATCAGCGTCCATCAGCACCCATCACTGCCGGTTAACTGGCAGGCAGGGATGTGGCTGCACCATGGGAAGGGTGCCCTTCCCTGTGCCCAAATCCAGTCTGGCTGCCTGGTGTGATTGACACACGATGGCAAAGAGGTGCTCTGGTCAGGGTTCCTGCCTAAGCCACACATATTCAGTCTCTAATTAGCTGCAGGTGCCGATTCACATCACTGTTAATCTGCTCCTGCTGGGTTCACAAGGAACCTGGGTGTATCTGTCTTCAAACTGTTTCTGAACACTGAGGTGCTTAGTGTTTGGCATTTCTGGGTCGGGTGTAAAATCCGCTGTGGTTGGGTGGAGGAGTCGTGGTGGCGATGCTAAGCACCAAATCTCTGTGATTGAACAGGGTCAGTGCCACCGGTCACTTCCTAAAGTGGCCGTCCGTTTCCTCCAGCCATCTGCGACTCTCACCTTCAGACCCAGCCTTGCAAGTCCAATGCAGACACATGTGCATGCATATTTCCTAAAGACGTAGTTTAATTGGCCTGCTCGTGCCATTGTTATCAACTCGATCCAAACTGCAGGTTCCAAACCAAACTACCTGCCCTAATGACAGGTAGAGGTATTTGTAGAATTAAGACTCAACATGTTTGCCTTGATCCTAATGTCCACACACGAGCTTTGGTTTTAAAAAAAAAATCATGTTAGGATAGTGTATTCTTTACAAACTATTTATTGTCATACTTAATACTTCTTGCCTACAAAAAGTAAGAACTTGACGTGCTGTGCCATTTCGAGACTGTTTCTATGTGATTTTCTGTTCAAGAAGAGAAATGATGTGGTCTCTTTTGATGTGTCTCAGTGATTCAGGCAAAAGGACTGGATTTTTTTAAAGCAGTTTGAATGTCTAGCATTTCACTAGCGAAGCTTGCCGTGTTCCAGAAGGCAAGGAGTCTGCACTGTATGTGGATCCCTGCTCGTTCATTCTCTGCATTTGTATCTTCCCCTATTCTCTCTCCAAAACCTGCTCCTCTCCTAGACACTCCTGAAGAAAATCCTTATTTCCCTACGTACAAATTCCCTGAACTTCCTGAAATCCAGCAAAATTCTGAAGGTACCATCAACTTAGACAGTATATCTGTTGCCTTAGTCTTAAAGTAGTTCTTATAGCTCCGTTATCGGCATAAAGTTTGGCTTTTAGATTTTGTTCTCATAGTCATTTTTGGTTGGTGAAAGTTTTATTTCACTCATTTGCATGATGTGCTGTATTAAAATGACTAAGTCCTTTCTAATTCATTAATCTGTTTTTTAAGTGTGATGCCCTTGTGCTTTAATAACACTAAAAACGGTAATCAGTCATTTGAAAGAGTCAGCTGGGGACTTGTCAGCTCCTCCACTTCATGGTGGATAGTTTCAAAACGCACTGCTTTTCTCTGCCGCAGAGGACAATCCTTATACTCCTACCTACCGGTTTCCTGCCTCTACTCCTAGTCCTAAGTCTGAAGGTAATTCAAGGGAAGTCGTGTGCCTCCCGTTGTTCCAGTGCTGTTCCTTTCTTTTTCACCGGGGGGCTTTTTCCTGGTGGCTAAGGGCTGCTCCCGTTCATTTGCTTCCCTCTGACCTTGTGTTCTTGTGGTGGCGTTTTCCTCGCTGAGCCTATGAGCAGCATCTCTCTGTGGTATTTTAGCCCTGTTCCCTTAGGGTTTATGTGATTGATGGGGTAGCCAGTGTGGCTTAGTTACAGTGCTTTGGACCTGGGGGCTTGGGCAAAAGCTGCCCCCAGGGCCTGATACCCAGTGGGTGACAGGGTCACCTGATGCAGGTGGCCAAGCAGTGATGTGGGGACTGGTGGGACCTAGACCTGCCAGCAGTCAAGAATACAAAACCTACCAGGTTCCTGTATGCGCAGCTGACTCAACACTGGGCCCCTCTTGCTCTGGGCCCTCGAAGTGTTTCCGTTTGGTAGAGAGTTCCCGAGGAGGTATCCAGGTTCAAGATTCAGTCCTGGTGAGAGATGATATTCCTTGAAAGTAAGGGTTTGGCCAAGCTGGAAAGTATTTCATGAAGAGCTCTATAGGAATTTGTACCTGCTGGGGAAGAAAAGCCACAGCTATATCTGAGAGCTAATTCTTTTCTGGAACAAAAAGTGTAGGTGCCAAAGAAACTTCTAAAAGGTGAGTTAAGGGCAGTCTGAGAAATATCTTTGTAGCTGGGATTGTCTGATCTTTAAATGAGTGACCCAGAAATGGGGGAAGGGGAGAAAGATGTTTTGTTGAATATTCTTCCAAGGTCAAATGTTGAGGGCTCCAGCAGTGGAGGGAGCATTTGCTGTGTGCCATGCACCGTCCTTGGAACTGGAGATAATGCCACGAGTAAGACGTGGCCTGTCCTCAAAAATTCACATCCGGTGGAAAGTTAGACAAGGCCACTTCAGCACGCTGTGTCCAGTGTGGGGCGGTGGGAGAGCATCTGTCCAGAAGGCCACGGAAAGCCTTGCTGGCACACACTAGGTGCTCAGCAGTACCTGGGGAGTGTTGCTGAGTGAAGGCTTTATACATGGGACCAGGGTTCTTTTGTAGAGATCCCCGTGCCTCCACCTTGGTGCTTCTCTGCCCTGAACAGCTCAGTGAGCCATACCGTGCAACCTTTCTCATCATCGTTTAGGTCGTTCCATCATCTAGACTCTGTTTTAAAAATTAGGTATTGGAGAGGGAGAGGGAAAAGGAGAGAGGGAGAGGGAAGGAGGAAGAGAGGCTGATCCCATCCACTGGTTCACTCCTCAAATTCCCATAATGGCTGGGCTGAAGCTGGAAGCCAAGAACTCGATTCAAGTCTTCCATGTGGGTGACAGGAACCCAACCACTTGAGCTGCCTCTCAGGGTACACATTAGCAGGAAAGTGGAATTGGGAACAGAGCCAAGACTTGAACCCAGACATTCTGAGGGACGTAGGTTTCCTAGCCAGCATCGCAACCACTAGGCTAAACACCTGCCTCATCAGACTCATGGGTCACTTGCCACACATGAGGTGACTCCCTGGGAAGCTTTAGATGCAGTGTCAGCTGACATACAGTAGTCGTGTTTGGTGTCTGTCGTGTGCCCTAGTCAGTGGTTCCCAACCGTTTCACGCCTGGGTCCTATTTGAGTGAAAAGAGAAGTCTACAAGCAGACCCGGACTTAGAGGCTAAAAGCTGGTGGTCTAATTGTGCTCAGTGGCCTCAGTCCCAACAAGTCTGTTTGGTGTAGATAACTTGGTCTTTCAGTCTTGGGAACGCTGATTCTAGCCAGAAGCTCTGCTGAAGAAACACCTGAGCTGGGCGAGGGAGAAGTGTTTTTCAGGGTCATTTTGGGAAATTTCAGTTTCTGATTTGTGGACCCAACCTCACGGGTAAGAGAGCTTTCCTTCTAAGATCAGGCGAGAAGGGCAGAGCGCAGTGAAGGCTCAACCTCTCCTGGACATGGGCCGGGGAAGGCGAGCTTGGAGAAGTCCTGTGGAGAGGCACAGCGGCTCCCACGGGGCTGGAAGGTTGCCTTGGGCCTGTTGCCAGCAGCACCTGTGGCTTCCTCGGTCAGCCCAGCTGCTGGTCCTAGACAGGATTTCACAGCCTCACACCCAGAGCCCTTGTGTCGTCCAACCGCCACAGTTAGCAACCCTGGTGATACCAATGTCCGCTTTCTCTTGCACATCAAGTCCGGCACAGGAGGGAACGGGAGTCATTTTGCCTAGTAGCATAAACAGCAAACGATGTCGTGACAACGTGTCACCTATAATTTAGAAACAGACCTTACCATCTTTTTATTTGCAAAGACCAAAAAAGGAAGAAATAACCTTGATGAATAAAAAGTGGCTGAACAAAAAAAATTCATACCAGCAAAGATGATTAGAATTTAACACAAGTTTCTAAGAAGTCGCCTTCCCTGGAGAGCTTTTAAAAGTAGGGTTGATTCCATCTCTCACACTCCCACCCCTGCCTGGGCACGGATCACTGATGCGTTCAGTTAGGTCAACACTTTTCACAAATTAGGGAGATATTTGAGCTAGGTCATTTTAAAGATTTTTTTTTTTTTTTTTTAAAGTTTCAGGAGGTTCTCTGGATTTCTGGGTGGGTGGTTTCTGGTTTTGATGGTGTAGGTGAGCTCTGTCCAAGGTGGTGCTGCTCCTGATAGGGGGCGTGGACTCTGTGCCCAGAATGGCGCCTAGCTGAGGCTCTGCCCCTGGATTTTAATGCAAATTAGGAAATAGCCGGCTTTACTGAGAGGTGGAGCTCTCATTCCAGAGCCTGCCTCGTGGGGAGAAGGTTTTTGTTGCTGCTGCTGTTTTAATTCAGAATTTGGAATTAAACCTCACCTAAGGGCTGCTGCCTCTGTCTAAATTCTAGTTGTTTACAAAGGACAAGAAACTATGTATGTCAGTATCTCAAAGCTGGTCCCTGCTCCCCTCAGTAGTAAGTCACTTTCGGAGACTTTGTTTATACTGGAATAGCAACCTTCTTTTTCCCCCAGCTACAGTGAAAAAGTAACCTTCTGCCTGGAGTTTTAGAAGATAAATATGCATACAGTGATCATGTATTACTGAGGTTTAAAATATACTTTTAAAAAACCTCAAACCTCTGTAAATTCCAGTGAGAAATCACCGCTAGTGGTTTTATAATCTCTCTCTGTGGGAGGGAAGAGATGTTACATACAATTATACTGGGTTTCCTGAAGCAGGAGTGAGAGGGACCAGCTATGGAAAATCTTGTTAGAAATGCAGCTCCTGCCCTTCCCCAACGCCTGCTCTAAGGGACACAGCGTGGCCAGCCCCTTACAGCTCACAGTCGCACTCTTGTGGACCATAGCGGCAGCTCCATCACCCAGGTGGCAGAGCGACTGCCATGAGTTGGGCCCTTATAGATGTAGGCCTCTATGTTGAGTGCATGATTCTTATCTCATTTCTGTCCTTCCAGCAGCCTCATGAGATAAGCCTTCAGTTTTTAAAAGCTGATTTATTTATTTATTTGAAAGAGTTACAGAGAGGGAGGGAAAGATAGGGAGAGATCTTCCATCTGCTTGTTCACTCCCCAGATGACCACAATGGCAAGACCAGGCTGAAGCCAAGAGCCAGGAGCTTCTTTCAGGTCTCCCATGTGTATTTCAGGGGCCCAAGCACTTAGGCCATCATCCACTGCTTTTCCCAGGCCATTAGCAAAGAGCTGGATTGGAAACGGAGCAGCCAGGACATGAACTGGCATCCACATGGGATGCCGGCACTGCCGGCAGCCGCTTTATGTTGCAGTGCTGGCCCCAAACCTTCATTTTACCAATGAGGAGTAGGAGGCTGAGAGAGGTTAAATAGTATGTATTAGACCACACAGTATGTGGCACAGCCAGAATTCAGACCTGGGTCTGTGGGGCCCCCAAATATGGACATTTCCTTGCTCTGCTGTGCTGCTCAGCTGAGTCCGTTCTCTCTCCTGATGCCCTCTGTGTTCTCGGCTGTCCCCTTCTTGTCAAGGGCTCTTCCAGGCCATCCAGCTTCCCCTGAGCCAGTCCTGCCTTCATCTGCTGGGCCAGTTTCTCCCAGGTTGATGTCCATGAGTTGGGACCCATGGCTGTGGTTGAAAACCACTGGCATGGAGGAGCCCCATTCTTCCCCAGCCCCAACCTTCACCCCCAAAGGGGTGAAGGTACTTGCCCAGATGCAGTTTGTTTTTGTTTTGTTTTGTTTTGTTTTGTTTTTGACAGGCAGAGTTAAACAGTGAGAGAGAGACAGAGAGAGAGAGAAAGGTCTTCCTTCCGTTGGTTCACTTCCCAAATGGCCACTACGGCCAGCACACTGTGCCGATCCAAAGCCAGGAGCCAGGTGCTTCCTCCTTGTCTCCCATGCGGGTGCAGGGCCCAAGCACTTGGGCCATCCTCCACTGCCTTCCCAGGCCACAGTAGAGCTGGACTGGAAGAGGAGCAACCGGGACAGAATCCGGCACCCCAACTGGGACCAGAACCCAGAGTACCGGCGCTGTAGACGGAGGATTAGCCTAGATGCAGTTTTGGGAATTTGAATTAGAGTGGGGAAATACCCTTCACTTCTGATCATACTCAAATGATGTTGGCTCACTGGGTATGTCTGTTGTCAAGAAGACAGAAGCTGTTTTAAAAATCATGGCTTACAATCTGCCGCAGGAGCACATAAGCAGTGCATTACTTCATGGGCCATGGCCGGCAAGCACCTGCTGGACCCCAGCAGGGTGAAAGGCCATGGCCGAAGGGGAGACCAGACTTTCCTCTTGGGTGCTTCTTCTGTGTTCTGAGTGAGTAGCGGCAACTGCCACCTCCTGGTGCTGTGGCTTGAGACAGCACCTGTAGCATCCCTGGTTGTGGTGTGTGGTCTGTCTCATTGTGCTTTCTCTTCATTCCTAGATGAGACTGCACAAAGGCAAGCATTTAAGGAGGCTGATTTTCCCAGGCATGTCTGTAGTTGAGTTAAAATAATCCTCCGCTGCCCTGCAGGGGTTCTAAGAACAGCCTTATTTTGCTTGAGTTAAGCAAGTCACGCTATTGTGAAGATGCTTGGCCAGGATCTGTGCCTTCTGCCCCAGACTCCAGTTGGTGCTGCCCCGTGGAGGGGCTGGGCTGCTCGCAGTGGCCACCCTTGCCCTCCTTGCAAGGCCTGCCCAGCAGCTCTCCGCCCAGCCAGTGCAGTGCGCAGGCTTTGAAACATAGCAGTGGTCCCCCTTCCACCTGCAGACCTCGCAGCCCGGTAGGAGATGAGGCCGGTGAGTCTTTGTCCAAGCCTCTGTTCCTCCCAGACTTCCTTCCATGGCTCCTTTCCTGCCCCACCTCATTCTCTCTTTGATATGTCTTCTCCAGCGATCCCACATCCTGCCCTGCCTCTTCTTCCTCTTCTTTAATCACTTAAAACTTAACTGCCTTTAACTACATCACAAACGGTGTTGTGACTTTCCCATACCTCCTAGACCTGCTGACTTCCTCGCTCCCTTCGCTTCCTTTCCTTTGCTCATCCCACCCAGACTCTACCCAACTCCACATCTGCTCTGCTTTCCTTTAACTACTTTTGCTGTGTGTGTGTGAGAGAGACAGAGACAGAGAGTATGTGTGTGTGTATGTATGCACCTATATTTGCCTTTACATTCTTCCTCTTCCTAAGTATATGGGTAAACCCCAAGAAAGAATTATGTTGAGCAATGGGAAAAGTATGTTTAAAATGAGCTATTAATATTAGAAAATCAAATGTAAAGGCTTAAGAAATGCATAGCATTGAAATGTGATAGAAACCAGGAAGTGGTTCCAAAAATGCTGCTTTTTTGTGCCTGTTGTCTTGTTTTGGTCAGTTACCAGATATTTGTAGAACAACAGTTTCCAGCCAACACTTTCTCTGATTATCTTTATGATTTTTATAAATTTTTTAAGAAAAAAAGCCCATAAAGAAAAAGCCATTTAGAGGCTCATTTAAAGTCACTGTGGCTGGACAAGGCAATTGTGTGGCTCCCGGCAGTTGTAGGAGTCACTGTCCCCCAGTTGAGCTACCAAGGACAGACTGCCAAGGCCCCATGGGAATTGCTGGTGTGTAAACAGAGCCCAGCGGGGGCCTTCAGGGCCCTGAAGTGAGTTGTTCCCCCGGGTGAGTTCTGCTTAGTGTCAGAGCTTCCCAGAATCACTGGCATGGGGTGTTCCGAGAGTGCTGCCAAGCTTCTGTGCCTGCTGCTCTGTGCCGCAGGGGCCACGGTCACGAGCAGCAGTCACAAGACCCCAGCTCTGCTGAGTCCACCAGGGCATTATTTTCAAGAGAACTGAGAGAGATAGGGAAATCGGGGTTTCAGATGCCAGTTCACGGGAAGCTTGAGAAACATTTCATTTGGTGTGCCTTAACTGTGGTTACACCACACACACACACACACACACACACACACCATTTGATCTGGCCAGCTCTGGTGCACAGAATTGCAGAAGGATGCTCCTTCCACCCAGTTTTCCCATTCCAGGCTTTTCTGCTGCATACTCATCTGACCCAGTGTGGACTGAGCTTACTGGGATAACATTGCAGAAAGCAAGTGGAGGATGGAGCAAGAGTGACTCAGTGTTGTGCATTGTCCCTGGAGACAGGACAGAGGCAGGAAAGCCACAGTATGGTGGGTAACTCCAGCCACTTGCCTAAGCAACCCCCGGGCAGGGAGACAGGGAAAATTAGAGCAGAGGCAGTGAACTGGCCTGGCCAGCAGTGCAGTGCAGGACTTGAGTTTCAGAACCACACCTTCTGCTGCTTCTTCCATAATGGAAATGCTAACGGAGTAGCCGAGTCCCCCACCTTTCTCAGGACTCGGTGCAGGAGTCTGGGCTGAAAGAACAAAGCAGCCACCCCTGTTAGGATCTCAGAAGTGCCTTAGGGAGGTAGAAAGACTTGGAATCTGTTCCTGATGTCTCTCTGATTGTGCTTTAGTTGTCTTGTCTGTAAAATATTTACTTCTTCTGGGGTTCTTGCAAGGTATAAGTTAGATGATATCAATAAACCACCAGCCATCATTAGGCCCTTAATAACAGGAGATAGTTACTTTTATATTTCTACACGGAAGTAAAAGTTCTTTAACCTTGGATTTGCAGCACAAACATCAAGAAATAAGTTATCCATCCCCTAGAACTTGTCCTAACTGCTAGAGTTGTGGAGATGAGTCTGGAAAAATGCTCTCTGAGACGTCCATGCAGGGAAGTGCCCACGTCAGACCTGTAGATACTGGGTGAGATGTGAGAAGCCTGTCCGCAGGCCCCAGCTTAGCCTTTTCCCCCTGTCCCAGAGAAGAAGGGAGAAAAGGAAGCTGTAAGAGCATCCAGGTGCTCAGACTGCCCGGCTGCCTTCATTGCCCAGCTTCCCTGTGGCTTTGGCTGCTTTTCTGAGTAAGACTTTGATAAACTCCCCAACATTGCTATTTTTTCCCATCTTATGAGAACTGTTCTTTCTTTTTTTTTTCTTCTTCCAAAGAACCTTCTAGAATTCACATCAGAAAGCTCTAGGGAGCAACATTTTTTAAAGAGCTCATGCTTAAAAATATCCTTGAATATTTAAATACCATTCTTCACGCCCCTTACCCCCATCACTGTATTTGTCACTTCATGAGCCTTTGGTAATAGTTAAGAATTAACCCTTGCCTTCCCATCTACTCATAGGCTGTCACCTTTCATGACTCAGACAAGTACAGGATTTTGAGCTAAAATATTAGGCTAAATTTTAGGCAGTACATATATCGAGTTGTAGCTAAGCTAACTTTTTCATTTGGGGCAGGCATCAATTTTTTTTCTGATCAGTTTTAGTATTTTTTTGAAAGGGTTACAGAGAGGCAGATGAAGAAAGAGATAGATTGATCTGCCATCTGCTGGTTCACTCCCCAGATGGCTGCAACAGTCAGGGCTGAGGCAGGAGCTTCTTTCAGGTCTCCCACGTGGGTGCAGGAGCCCAGGAACTTGGGCCATCTTCTGCTTCTTTTCCAGCACGTTAGCAGGGAGCCGGATCAGAAGTGGAACGGCCAGCTCTCTAGCCGGTGCCCATATGGGATGCCCATGCTACAGGTGGCAGCCTTGCCCTCTATGCCACAGTGCCAGCCCCAGAAGCTGTTTTTTTTTTTTTTTTTTTTTTTTTAAAGGCAACAGAATTCTTCAGAAGATTCTCTCAAAGAATGTATTCTGGATTCCATTTCATCTCTTTCCCATACCCTGTTTTCATAAATTGGCAAAAATAAGATTATATGCTCAGTTTACAACAGTGAACATTTTAGGAAGAACCTTGAGCCTTGATGTTGATTAATTCTTGTCCTGAAGGAGAAGACTGGGGAGGAGAGAGGGGGAAAGGTAGCTTGGGACCTGATGCTGTTCCCTTACTTGGGAGTGGGGGCAGATGAGAATCGGGCACGGAGAAGGGACAAGCAGGGGTGACAGAGGGTTATCTGTGAGTAGCACTTAGAGCAAGAGCAGTGCTAGCTTAGCTTACATTTCATAGAGCATTCTGGCCTTTTCTGCTCTGAAACCTGAAATGACTTGCATCGAAACTTGATTAACACTTGGTTGTTAACATAAAACATCTGGCTTCTCTGCGCTGTCTGTGGATCAGTTCACAGGCTTTGCTAAAGTTGTTAGGCTCTTAAGAGAGGGAGTCGAGGCTTCATTCTATATATGTGAGTTCTGAATCTGGGTTAGCAAGATACAGAAAACGAGAAGGGGGACTTCCAGGCTTTTTGGAGTGACACTTTGGAGGGACCGTCTCAGATGTAGTGACTAAATAGCCCACATTTGGGGGACAGTCCTAGTTGGAAAACCTGCTCCCAGAAGTGTGCCTGAGCTCTGAATTAGAGCTTCAACACTGTAGCTGCCTTCATGAGGGGTCCAGATCTTGTGTCGGTTGTGCACGTTTTGGAGCCCTAGGGTCCTCCTTATACAGGATGTGTGCTCCGCCCTGCGGGAGCCCCTCCATAGCACAGACACTCGGGCGAGTTTGATTTGGTTCCGAGTCATGAGTTAGACACGTTCCTGGGTGGTGCCTCCGCAGGGCTGACCACGTAAGCACACCGTCATGGCTGCCTTGCGTTCAGGGAAGGAAACCTGCTCACGCAAGCAGGCTGAGAGGCAGCAGAAACACGACGGTGACAGTTTTCTCAGCCGCAGAGCCTGTGGTAATGATGGTGTGTGGGGAATCATAAAATAGACCGGAGCAGAAGCAGGGAGCTGGAAACCACACCCTCGGGGGCTCCCCTTCCAGAACCAGGGAAGAGGCTCTGAGCAGGGGATGCAGCGGGGGAGCCGTCTCGATGCCCCCACCTTCCACCCAGCCAGAATGGGTGGCCAGCATCGCGGCTTTGGCAGAGGAGGGCCTTTGGCCCTTGGTCCCCTTGCATGTAGGTTGCAGCCGTGGAGGTTCTCGTCCGGACTGCAGGTCCTGTGGGGCTGGGTGGACTCTGCAAACCTTGCTGCTCTCCGACGTGGTCTGCCGTGGTGTGGCTTCCCGCGCTTGACTGCTCCTCTCTGCGCTGGGCTCCCGGGTGTGGCTGGATGTGGTGCCGGACTGGGGATGCGGGGAGCACCCGGCCCGGTTTGCTGCACTTAGCTGATTGCCCCTGACGTCTTTTTGTTCTGTTCACTAGATGACGACTCCGATCTGTACTCTCCTCGTTACTCCTTTTCTGAAGATAGTAAGTGACTTTTAATTTCCTGGGTGCGGGGAGGAAGGAGGGTGGAGGGTGAGGGAAGGCATCTTCCTGCTGTCTGTTTTCATGTGTTTTTAAAATCTTGGGTATGCACTCTTCTTTCTCCAGCAAAATCTCCCCTTTCTGTGCCCCGCTCAAAAAGTGAGATGAGCTACATTGATGGTGAGAAGGTAGTTAAGCGGTCGGCCACGCTGCCCCTCCCGGCCCGCTCTTCCTCGCTGAAGTCCAGCCCAGAGAGGTGAGTGCTCCCTTGCTTGCCCTTTGGTCCGTGTCATTGCAGGGCCTCCCTGATTGAGAGCTGCCAGCCTCCTCTCTCAGGAACATGCCACATTGATCCCATGAGTCTCAATGTGAAATGGAGAGAAAAATGGCATGCCTTCTCCTTTCAAGGAGAAGTGAGATAATCCAAGGAGCATTCCTAGTAGTGCCTGGCTTACAGTGTGGTTTAATTAATGCTGATGATGAGTGTCCTCACTGTTTGCACTTTCACAAGAGAAATGTTTTCAGATTCCAAGCTCATACTATGTGCTCCTGATGCCTGTTGATCCATGTAACATGTATGGTGACACACATGCCTTGGAATCATTCTAGTGATGACATTAATCATCTCTTTATGCCTGCACCCAACAGCTCAATTGTCTTTTATTGAGTTCTTGTCTCTACAAATGCCCGGTGGAGCAACCTTCTTGTGCCATTGGGACAGGTGTCCACTCCTCTGCCAACCCCCAGCTTCTGCCACTTCTCCAATTATAAAAGGCTCTGGCCCAGTGAAATCATGACTTTTTCCTTAAATAGACATCCAGCTTCATATTTCCACGTTTCCCTTCTCGATAGAGAAGTGAATATCTATTTTAAAAGCCCTCAAGGAGTGCATTCATCAAGCATCTACTACTATGCGCATTCTATACCAGTTAAACCAGATGTTATGGCAGAATTTAAATATATATAAATCATTGTCTCTGTCATCAAGACACTTACAGGTTTGCAATAAAAACTAAACAAGGGCACAGTGCAAAGTGCAGTAATACACATGCCTGCAATTTGCAAACAGTTTGCAAGGATTCACATAGCCTGTGAAACCCATCACTGGAAACCAAGACAAGTGTCTGAGATTGGTGGGAGTATGAGTGAATGGCTCTAATGGAACTAGCAAAGAACCCCATTGTAATAATAGCTAACCGTACTGAGCAGCTCCGAGGGCCTGCAGCTCTGCCAGTGATTTCTATGCAGTGTCTCCTTTCAGCCTTACAACAGCCCTCATTTTTCACATGGGGAAAATGAGGTCCTAAGAGGTAAGGTGCCTGGCTAAGACCACGTGGCCAGCAGGCAGGTGATGTAGCAGAGATGTGAACCAGAACCTCCAAGTGTCCTCCAGCATTCACTGTGTGAGTGGGAAGAGCAGGCATGTTTAGGGAATGACAAACTCATGACAGCAGAGCAAGGTGGAAGATTTTCCCAGAGCGAGCTTTGCTGCTCTGTGCTCCCTCCCTGCCTCTCTTTCTCTTCTCTCTGCTGCCTGGTGCTTGGCTTTGAGTGCAGGAGACCTCAGGCCCCTCGTGAGGCAGGCACAGAGATTTAACTGGTTGTGTGGAGAAATTACATTGCTCGCCCTGACTCTGATTTTATGCTTCAGATATAAAAATTCCTTGATTAGATGACAGCCAACCAAAGTCAGACCATGTCGGAAGCTGATGCCAATTTTCCTGAAAATCGCTCTAATAGGATTTTCTTTCGACAGAAACGACTGGGAGCCCCCCGATAAGAAAGTGGATACAAGAAAATACCGCGCAGAGCCCAAAAGCATTTACGAGTATCAGCCGGGCAAGTCTTCCGTTCTGACCAACGAAAAGATGGTAATGTGCACACTGAAGTTCTTTTGTCTCTTTCTACCCATGTTCTTAAATCCAGACGCATTGTGCCGGGGGATCACGGTCTTTGCCCTTTGAGATAGGCTTGCTTTGTTTAGGAGACAATGAAAAAGAACAGACGTGTTTTCACCCCTGTTTCGTTTTTGCAGGTATTTGTGCAATAATTCCTTGAGGGTCTGCTTGTGAAAAAGCCCCTCATTGTGCCTCTGTCGCTCCTTTTGTGCATGCTTTCACTAATTCTAATCGTTTTGCTAACATAAAGATTGATTCTGCTGCTGATTATTTTGGATGTCTAACCGTTCATTTATCAGACTTATCCTTAATTGCACTAATGTCAGTTTTTTTAAGTGACTTATTTGAACAAGCACAAATTCTGTAGACATCACCAGTCCCTCATTAAAGACTAAATAATTAATAGGATGTTATGACTTGGGGGGAGAAAAAGCTCCAGGCTATTAGCGTATGTCTTTTAGATCTTCCATTTTTGACAAGTGCAATGTTGAGGACTCATTTCCTGTTCAGCCTGGTTTATGGTTCCCTGTCTCTGAGCCCCTGTGAGTGGGGAAAAGGCCTGGGTGGGCACAGCAGACCTCCCCGGAGAAGCAGCCTGCTCTGTGAAATGGGAAGAAGTTTTCCAGACTGGTCAGACTCTGACCTGCCAATCACCCTTCCTTTTATTCACCCTTTGTTAGGAAGAGCTGGCCCACAGTTGTGATGGCGATGCTCTGTGGATGTTGCAGGCCTCCAGCCGTGACAACGGGATGCAATTATCGTGCCGGGGCCTGGCTTTTATTAAAACACTGTTAGCCACACCAAGTGCAGAACACGCAGGCCCCCGAAATGCAGGTTCCAATTACTTTCCCTCCGCCTCTTCTGCTCTCCATGTTTTTCAGGAATAATCGATTTGACTTTTGCTAAAATAAAAAGGTGACATCATTAAAAGCACAGAGCAAGCAGTGATTTTCACCAGGAAAGAAGGTCAGCAGCTCACGGCAATGCTTTCAGCGTAGTCGTTCAGTGTGCACTGCGGTTATTTTAAGCACAAACCACAGGGAGGAGTGGAGGGTTCGGTCTCTGCCTTCCTCCTCCATGGGAGCTTCTCTGGCTGTGAGAAGGTGTCTTATGTGTAACAAACGTGGAAGGCACCTGCCCTGGGCTGTTCCTGGAAGGTGCTGCTGTCCAGGTATATTCCTGACGCTTGAATACTGGCATGGGACCCCCGTCACACGTGAGCAAGGGGAAACAATTGCAGAGACTCGATAGGTCCCCAGGGTTTTTGTTTTGGCCATATTACCGTTCACAGAGGGCCCTGGCGCTTCGTCTCTTCTTTGTCTCTACTTCCTTTCCTGGGTTCCTAGTAATGTCAGCAGCGTCCAGAGCTAGGAGAAACAGCCACATAGTTTTCTTCCTGGATACGGTGATGGCTGCAAGTATCTTCCGGATCATAGTTTTTGGGGTCGTTCGTGTCATTTGTAAAACCCTGGAAAGTAACACGGAGTCTGCATGAGGGGCCCTCTATGGAGAGTGCTGGCGACTGTGCAGGTGGATCGCAGAGCTCCCTCTGGGTGCACACGACGTTCTTCTGTGCTGTCCCGAGCCGCGTCAGCTCCACAGTGAGACACAAACACCAAAGGCAGCCCGGGGCGCCAGTTCAGCCCTAATTCTTCCAAAGAGAAGTTTTTAATGTTAGAGAGAAATTTCAGTCGATTCCTAACCTTTTGACACTTGACTCTTTTCAGTAGTTGAATTTGCCCTTTCTGTTTGAATGGTTTTTTTTCCCTCCTATTTTTATCACATGAACAGAAAAGTTGGAAGTGAGCTTCAGTGTAGGAGTCTTGCATGTTGGTATTAAGTATCTGGTTTGCCAGAATTTGAGCAGTATCTCCCACCACATCACCACCACTGCACATGCACACGTACGCGCGTGCACACACACACACACACACACACACACTTTGCTTTTGGTTAACTCTGGGTGAGTATACCAACTAATGACTTCGATGTAGACTCCACGTTCTGAGATAAGATTTTCTTTGCCTACTTCAAGGTGCTCATACTTGCTTCAGTGTGGCAGTGTAAGTCGTGTCCTCCTGGGCATGTCTACATGTTGCCAGCAGGAAGGGTGGACAGGTGGACCAAAAGGACTGCCCTGGGGGCTCCCCACGCCACCCCAGGCCAATGGAACACTGTGCTCACATCACACCCCACGGGATAAGTCCATTCTCGATGAGCTGGTCACCCAGTGGACAGGCTCACACCAGCGTCTTCACACCTGCTCGGCCCTCCTCTTACGTAGTTAGGAGCTCCTTTCCTTTTCTTCTGGCTTTGGAATTGGGAGCTGGTGGTCAGCCCCTCCTTGTCAGAAATGGCCTTTTCCAGACTCCATTCCTTTGTACATTCCCCTACAGTCCCTGCTGGAGAACCTCAGCCCAGTTCACCAGATGTATCTGCAGAATAACTTTCCTGAACGCATCCCTGGGTTAGATTGTGGGGTCCCTGTTCCCGCAGGTATAGATAGAGTAAGAAGGCAGACATTCCAACACTATGGACGGCACGGCATGGCCTCTGAAGTGTAAAACAAGGGCTGTCATCCCAGGCCACCGCCTCTGAGTTTCTTCCTTGGCTTTTCAGCTTGGTCACTTAGCCCTGTTTACGTGATGTCATGGGCAAACCTAATGGTTCTGCCCCTTCTCGTTTGGAGTAGAAGTGAAACACAGCATGGTGTCGAGAGGGCCGGGTGAGGAATTGGAAGGTCTGAGTGCTGGGTTTCGGTTCTGACTCTGTCTTACATCCTGGGGCTAGTCACATAACCTCTCTGAACCTCAGTGTTGCCATCCCTAAGTAGAGCTGCCACCTGGCCTGCTGTCTCACTGAGGTCCTGAGCGAGAGGTCAGCTGGGGTAATACGGGTCGAGCACTGTGCAGGTGGTGATGTGCTGTGCCACATTCAGGTGGCTTGTACAGCTGGACTTCAAGCTGGTCTCCGGCTCCCGTTCCAGCAGCAGAGCTGTCCTTGAGGAGAGGCCGGCGTTTTCCTGGCGAGGCGCTGCCCTTCGCCTGAGCCTGGCAGGATGGAATGTGCCCTGTGTGCCAGGGCAGCTTCCTGCTGGGCACGCAGAGATTTCTGTTTGTTCCATAATCAGGCCTGCCACAGCACCGTAACCGGTAAAATGGAACACCTCTGCTGGTGCCATGTGACACCACGTTGTTGCTTCTGTCTTTATCTGGGAGGCTCCTGGGTCTGAGGCCAGCTGCTCTGGGCCCAAGCTGCTTAACCAAACCTCCCGAGTCTGTTCCCACAGCATATTCACTCCAGCCATAAAACAGTTTGCAAACCGCTGCTGGGAACCAAATAGGTTAATTCTTTCAGGACTATGAATACCAAAACTTTTGGACGGTTTCCCAAAAGAGTTGGTATGTTTCATTAAAAAAGAAAAAAAGAAAAAACCCAGCCTACCCTATTTCCAGAGAGCAGTCTTTGTGACTTTAAGAAACACGAAATGGGTTTCACGAAGCCGCATCCATCAGGGTGTAGAATGACGGTCGTCCCTGGATGGTCCTGTCCTTGTAGGCCTCGGTGGGGGGCGAGCCGTCCCCTTCAGGATTGAGGCCCCAAAGACAGCGGGAGGAGATGTCACCTGGGGGCACGAGGCCCGACCCTGTGTTCCAGCACCGTTTCATTTGGATTCTCTTAGTTTAATTCTGGTGAACGAGAAATTCTCTGCCATCTGTCCAAATCTGCCCCTGCCTGTGGCATAGGAAAGATCCTTCACAGGATCTTAGAAGGAGGGGTTGGCCTCGTCCACTGAGGAGGTGCACACCATGTCTGCAGGCTGCAGAGGGGCTGGCCACTGATGGGTTAGGAAAAAGGCATCCAGGCAGAACTGCCCCGTGGACTTGGCATCCCCCCCTTCATGTGTGGCAGCCCCGGGGAGGGGTGTGTGATTTCTCGTGTGATATGTATATTTTGCATTTCAGATGGCTGTAGAAAATCACTGCATCTCTCTTGTGTGTGTGTGTGTGATTACCAAAATTTTATTTTTAAGCATTTATATATCAATTGAATTAAGCCATGAACCTCAAACACTTTTGTCTGGTGTGAACATATCTGCCAATATCCAGGGGAAACCCTGATTTGCTTTCTAGGCATTTGCTTTCCAACTGTCTATTTTCAGAAATACATGTTAATCCACAGAGTAAGATACCAGAACTTTATACGTATTTGATGAAATATTAAATCCCGTGGAATCACATTATTAGTCTATACGATACCTCTTCAAATGAGAAATCTAACTTATTTTTGTAATATAACCCAGAGGTTTTCTTCCCCTGTTCTGTTTTCTGTCTTGTCCAGTTTTCCCTTCACTTCATTTTTCTGTCCAGTTCTTTAACTTCGTAGAACCCCAGATATATTCTATCTGTAGTCATGCCCACGGATGCTTGTTGAAAACGTTCTTTTCGCTGTGTGTCCTCTGTTTTTACTTAAGTCATCTTTCACTGTCCTGTGGATGGGACATGGTTTCTCACCTACTCGTGTGCCATTAAAGATGCAGTATTAACCACTGGCTTTCATAAAGTGTCGGCATTTACATTTATTTGGAAAACCTCAAGACAGCCTCGCCAAAAAGCACTAAAATTGTACTAGCTACAGAAGTTGTTTGCGCTGCTCAGCTGGCATAGGTGGCTAAACGTTTGGTGTGCTCCCCAGTTTATTTGCTTGTAACTAATAGTTCCTTGTGTAGAGAGAAGAAGGGCTTCGTACTGGGGAATATCCCTGCGCCCATGTTCAGATTCATTGCGGGGGGTGTAGTGGGCTGCAGAGTCCTCCGTCTCTGGCCCACCTGCCTGAGGACTGAGAGCAGTTTGCTCACTGCTCCCCAGTTCAGTTTCCCTGGTTTTACAAGCTCATCCTTGTCCTGCTGTTTTTGCTGGTGTTGGAAAACAAAGCAAGATGATTGCTGCTGTCGAAAACCACAGTTGCTGTACGTACCTGGAAATCACTGCATCTCTACTGGCCTGATCCTATGTAATCTTTGCATAATGTTATCCTTCTCTTTCTTCCATTTCCCTATCACCAACCCCTATAGAGTCGGGATATAAGCCCAGAAGAGATAGATTTAAAGAATGAACCTTGGTATAAATTCTTTTCGGAATTGGAGTTTGGGAAACCGGTAAGTTTAATAGCTTCGGTGGTTATCCACCTTGTAAAAGAGTGCTGTTGATGCATTGTTGCTGCTAAAGAATCGGATCTGTTTGTAAGGAATTCAGAAAGTGGGGAGCAGTCCTGCTGGTCGGCAGTAGTGGGACCGCCTCTTCTCAGCGCAGCCAGTAAGCTTTGCCAGTAAGCTTCCACCAAGAAAGGGCAGTGAGCTCTGGACGTACTACTTTGCCAGAATATCCCAGAGACACGCCACGAAGTCAGCACTTGTCCTAGGACCTAACAGCGCGCCTCATGGATAGCCTTCTTTCAGCCATTGGCTCACTGCCTTGACCAGAGCCTTCACGGGTGCTGAACACCAGGAGGAACAGCCCTGTCACTGCTTTAAGCAGAGTTTTTGGAAAGCATGTGTACCAGAGAAGTGCCAGAGCAAGTCAAAGAAGGGCTGCCTATGCCAGTGTGACCCTATGAGCTAGGATGATATTTCCCAAGTTTTGAAATGGGAGTTAGGAAGTCTAACGCATTTAGTGTTCTGCAGCTTCCCTAGTGGTATCTCTGAGTCGACTTTGATACAGAGAATTTTGGCGTTCACAGAGGATTTTCTTAACGTGCACCCAAAAGAATATTAAACAGAAGGGAGAACTGAGCTCATCCTTTCCCTGGAGGTCATTGGAAGCTGACTTTAATTCTCCAGATACTTTAAAGTCTATTAGTAATTACAGTTGCAAATAGAACTTACAGGTGGAGAGTTAAGCATATAAAAGTAAAGCATTGTATTAGGTTCGGTGTGTGAGACTTTAACTGAATCCAGCTTCTGAGCTGCTGTGGTTGGGGATGATAGTGCTAGAGGCAGGCAGGAATTAACTGTATAGTTCAGTAAAATGTGGAATTCCATGATGTGTATTTTTCATCAAGACAAAGCCAGAGGGGAATTAAGCATGTGCTCCAAGATCGCTGATCTGACACAGTGATGCAGACCTTGCAGCTTCTGAATTAGCAGCACCTGACTTGGAAACAACCTGCTTCTAGGAACACCTGATTCCTCTCTTCCTGTCCTTAGATCTTGTCTTGCCAAAGCCCTGAGCTACCATGGATGAACAGCGCCACCTACTGCCCAGTGGAGAGGGTTGCATCTAACTGCAGGCCGCACCTCCCCTCCTGGGATGTTTGATGCCTACTTCATGCTTCTCACTTCCTCTCCCTATGTTCTCTGCTGTTCATCACACAGACATCATTTACTCTGCCTGAGGCAACCTTTTTAACATGTAAAAATATTTTTCAGTATCCTAACTTGTTTCCTTTTTTTCCTTAAGACCTGCTCAATTATCTCAAACTAATTTTTATGTATGTCTCATCTGCCAAAACACACACACACACACCCCAAAAGAGAGACCATGATTGGATATTAACATAAAGCCTTATGACATAATTTCATACTTTCATCAAAGAAGGCAAAAGTTGTTTTTAAAATTATGTTTAGTAAAAAGCCCATGCTATTGATTTGTGAAGTCTCTTTCAGAATTCACAAATTTCCAACTACCTCCTCATCTGCTAAATGCTAAATGAGTTATATCTTGAATATTAGTTTTTAGGAAAAATTATGAAACTTTTTTCGTAACTGAATGTGATTGGTTAGTCTTAATAAATTGTTGCCAATAATTTTTTTAAAAGGCATTTTTTTGAGAGGCAGAGTTACAGAGAGAGGGAGAGACAGAGGTTCTCCATTTGCTGGTTCACTCCTCAAATGGCCGCTGATGGAGAACTTCTATGAAATTCGCTGCTTAGGCCATCTTCCAGTGCTTTTCCAGGCCATTAGCAGGGAGCTGGATTAGAAGTGAAGCAGCCAGGACTCGAACTGGCACCCATATGGAACGCCGGCACTGCAGGCTGAGGTTTAACCCACTACACCTCAGCGCCAGCCCCGCCCCGGTATTTCAGTCCCAGCATATGTGAATGGGGCCGTATGAACAGCTTGGTAAATTAACACCTTCTCTGCTGGGAATTGTGGTCTGAGAACCACGCAGGCTCTTCACGGGAGTGCAGTCCACTCGTGGACTGGTGCCTTCCTGTAACTGGTCCCCGTCCCATTGCTCTCACTGCCTCTTAGTTATCTGGAGACTTGGAGATACTTTTCCAAAATGATCCCGTGTCCCTTGCACAGGCCTCAGACTCCTTCTAATGGGACTGCCCCCTTTTATGTAGGTCTGACTTGAAAAGATAACAGCTTTGAAAGCTTCCCAAAATAACATAATCCCTGCCCATTCACCAAGATGAACAGGCCTTTGTGATCTGAGGCCCCCTAAGAGGGGGCATTACCTGCTTCAGTGGCACGGCCTGGGAAGGAGGTATGGTAAGAAGAAGTTTTTCTCGTCTCTTCCTGCCCCAAACACTCTGGACCTCAAAACAGAGACCTCAAAACAAAAGTGGTGTGAACCACGAGAGCTGGTTCGAACATCGTCCGCAGCTGTTCAGAAGCAGAACCGATTTAAAACCCCCACCGAATCAACTGGGGCATCATTGCTGCTTTTTTTTCACTGCAACTTGGGACCACATCACCCAAGCAGAGTCCACCAGAACGTTAATCCTGAGCCTTTTCTGCCTCGCCCCTTCACACAAAGCCACGCAGAGTGAGGCGGCAAGGTCCCGACTGGGAATCTTTCTAGCTCTGGCAGGTCGTTGCACATCAGCAAACACTGCAGGACTCCAGGGACCCCTTGGGGAAGGATTATGTGAAGCCAGTGTCATTTGTCAGCACTGTTCTTATTTGTTTGCAGTAGGAGAAGCAGTGAGTAGTGGTTCTCAAGTGACTGGCAAAAGTCTCCTTCCCCAGAGGGTGTTAAGAGCTCACTTTACAACATACAGAAAGATGATGTCCTGGGTCTGTTGCTGACAGACAGAGGTCAGCTCACCTTAGGGCCTGATACCTTTTCACCTGCAGATTCACCACAGAGAGCCCGGTGTCAGCTTTTTCTCCTGTTCGACCCTCAAATGTCCATAGATATTGGTGTAATTCGATCTGTATGCTCAAGGCACAATGGCCTTGAGTTGGTTACAGAGAGAAGTTTTCAGGATACTCAAGGAGCCTTAGTGACCTCCGTTTCCATCTCCCCAGAGCTTACTGGTTCAGGAATTTCTCATCTCAGGGCAGTTGAGAAGGAAGGAGGTTGTGGAGGTGGAAGTGCCTGGTCACTCCCGAGTGTCCTCTCCCTCTCATCTCACAGCAGAGTTCCGCAGCTATAGCCTGAACAGGAAGGGCTAAAAGAGAAAACGAAAAGCTTGCTGCCCACCATCCCACTTTTCAGCTTAAACTCTTCTCCAAGGGGGTGGGAGAGTACCTCCCTACCACTAGTAGTGTCAGACCCCAGCTAAGCTGTCAAAGAAAATTTTGAAACTGGTGGTGTGAAATTGTTCCGGCGTCTGGTTCACCCCGGCTTTGTCCGTGGGTCTCCTTGCCGCAAAGCATAGAAAGCAGGCAGAGGGCAGCCCCCCTGCCTTTGGCCGGAGCTCTGGATCCCCACGTTTGTGAGCGCAGCGACAGTCACGGTGGGGACGACTGCTTCAGAGCCGTAGGAGCTGCAGGGTCAGCCCTGCTTGGAACAGCACCAGGAAGAATTTGAAAATTTCAGTTTTTGTTCAAATTTGTGTGAATTTTATTTTGCTTTTTTTTCCCCTAAATGTCCAGTATTTAGAATGTGATGAGGATTTTCTCTCAAGACTCAGACACAGACCCCCTAGTCTAGGTCACAGTCCCAGCCCCCAGTCCCGTGTCCTCAGGCCGAGTGCCCCCTCCCTCAACCTTTGAGTCCACCTCTTTGTGCTGATGCGGTTCCCCAGTGTGCCCCTCTTCGTTTGAGCCAGTCTCCATGTTTGTCTTTATGTCTTTACGCTCATTTCTTCATTTCCTCCTCTGCTTCCCGTCAGCCTCCCAAAAAGATATGGGATTATACTCCTGGAGACTGCTCTATCCTTCCTAGAGAGGATAGGAAGGTAATTCCACCGCGCCGCCTCCGTTGGACTGTCTGTGTGCACTCTAGCCTTGGGCAGTGTGAGTGTGTTGTGGGTTTGTTTTCTTTTCTTAAACCACTTAAAAATAGACTGGTGATTTTTTTTTTTGGCTTGTAGTATTTAACAAAGTCTTTAAAACATATACTAATATTTAGAGGGTTTTAAACTGACATATAAGATTTGTCACAGTCACCGTACTCTGCAAAGAGAGATACTAGGTATTTCCTTAAAGGTAGGTTTTTGTGATAGCTGTAGTTCTCCTTAGCAAGTAGAGTAGACTTTTGAAGCTCTGACTACTTCAGGATTTCTGTGTGATCAGCCTGTTGTTGCACTCTCTGTTTTCAAGTCTTTAACTAATTTCTAGTGAGCCCTTGGGTTGTAGTCATGCCATCTTGGCCTTATTAAAGCTTAACACTAAAAAAGAAGAAAATTCATTTTTCAAACTTAACCTTCCATGCTTTCTCCCTTTCCTCTAAACTAAAACATTCTTTCTCATCTTTTCTTTCTTGAACCAGACTAATCTAGAAAAAGATCTGAACCTCTGCCACACAGAGTTAGAGGCAGATTTAGAACAAATGGAGACGAGTAATAAAGCCGGCGGCGCAGCCCGGCCACAGGTACTCCCTGGTTTTCCCCGTGCCCGCGGCTCCCTTTCCACCCTGCTTTGTTCCTTTCATTTGGTTTCGGATAAAGCCGAGGCGCCGGTGGTAATGCCGCTTGTTTTCGGTTGCATGGCTTCTGGACTCCCGTGTTAGACCCCCTCTCCCAAATATATTTCCTTCTGGATTCCCTTTGAACTTGGCATCTTCCTGAAAGGGCATTTCTGAGCTGTTTGCAGGACACTGGTGGTGTGAACGCCCCCGGCACCCTACCTTCTTCTTCTTTTTTAGCTGCTTGCAGGGCGTGGTCCTGTTAAGGTCCCTTCCTCCACCTCTGTGCACCCTCTGACTTTTCAAGGAAACACTTTTGGCCAATCCTCTTGTCCTTTCTGCAGCCCTGGGAGATGCCAACCTCAGAGATCGCTCTCGAAAACCCAGCTGCAGTGATGTGGGTGCCCTGGTGTGCATGGCGCTGTGAGTCGTGGCATTTGTCGCTTGAGAGGTCAGAAAGTTGTCAGTGAAATCACGCTCTCCCGAGGCAGCCTGGGTACAAAGAAGTGTTTGAAAGTGAACACTGCCCATGCAGACTGATGTGTGTAAAGGGAACTATGGCAAGATGCAGTCTGTTAAAGAGCGGGAGAGAGAGAGCAGGGGCATCCTCGAGGTAGATGGATTTCCCATGGGGAAGAAAACACCAGATATTTGCAGAACAGTTCCCAGGTCCCCTGACCCAGCAGCAGAGCCTGTCACAAGGAAAGGAAACCTCTAGCGAAAATGAAGCATGAGCATGGATGCTGCTGGAGAAGTTGAAACTGCCAGCAGCTCCCTGTTATACTTAGGCAGAGGCAGGACAAAGAGGGCTGGACCGCCAGCACTGGTGACTGGGGTATGAAACACCACCTGAGTGCCAGAGGAGACCCAAGCCAGGGGAGGGGCGGGGCAGACCAACCAGGGGGTTGGAGTAGCGGCCAAGGGGGCTGGGATAAGAACCAGAAGCTAAGAAGCCCCAGCCCGATCTGGCAGCTGTCGTTCAGGAATCCAGAGGTGACTGGGGGGGTAGTGGAGCCAGCAGGGCCAGTGGTTAGGCCCAAACCCTCCATTGGGACTTACAGAGGCCCAAGAGGTGAGTCGCTGTGCACATGATGTAGGCAGGTGGGTGATGAGGTAGAGACTGGAACCATGCGTGGCCACTGTGGGATGGAAGTCCCGCCAGGGCGGGGAGTGGTCACTGCCAGTTCTGGAGCAGGAGCCATGGCTGCAGGTGAACCCTGAGTGGGCTGGGGTGCAGGGTGGGATGCCTGAGGTGGCATGCTGGGTGAAAACAAACTAGGAGTCATTTGTCCCAGGGGTCCGAGATGATAAGAGAGCTTCTGTATCTGGGCGGCTAGAGAGTCCCCAAGCAATTGTACGCGCAGCCTCCCTGAAGGCAGAGGTTGCTGCCCAGGTGGCAGAGGGCTCAGTGGAATGTCTGATGCGTACCTGAGTCATCTTCGTGTTGTTTCGCCTGCTGCCCTTTAGCCCTGGCTGTGTCTCAGACACGCCAGTGGGACTTTGCTTTCAGAACCTTGGCAGTTCAGCCTCACTCGTAAAGAATGACATAAACACTCGTAGATGAATTCTAGCAACCCACTGGGGTGCTGGGTGACATGGCCCAGGAGCGGGAGGGGAGGGTCAGAGAAAGAACCATTCAGAGAGGTAGAGGAGACAATGAGTGAGGGAGCAAGAGGAGAGAGCGGGAGAATAGCGCGTGCCTCAGAGAGGCCTGAAAGGGTGGACTCCAGGGGCAGTCAGGGTGCAACCCAGACGTGGGAGGTTCCCACATGATTGTTGACGGATTAGAGTGAGTGCCAAAGCATCAGAGGATCCTGCAGGGCCTGCGCCCTCATTGAACAAAGGTGATGGTGGAAAAAAGGGAGGGGGTGTCCCCAGAGAGCTCCACGGGGTCACGCACAAGCTTTTCCTTGATGGTGACCAGGGCAAGGTCCTCAAAGGGAGGAGGCTGGGAAGGGATAGGTGCCAAGAGGTAGGAGACTGCAGGAGGAGGAGGCCGGGCTGGTGAGGCCTGTGCCGCCAGCAGGGCTGGAGGGTGACTGTGGAGGTAAGAGTGGGTGCCCTCCCCGGGGAGTGATGGGGTGGCCTGCGGCACCATCAGGTCAAGGGTAAGTTCCAGAGGCAGAGCTGTCGGCCCCCTTCCCTCTTTCACAACCTCTTTTCTCTTTCTTTCCTTTCCCCAAATGTCTCTTCTCTAGGTAGCTTGTGTTCCTTTAAGTGGTCACAGTTAGAGGTAGAAGCATCTATAAAAGTCAACTTCGGCGTTGATGTATTCAACGTGCACACTATGTTTATGAAGTTATATTGAGTTCTTTACATTCTTCCCTCCCAGACAACAGAAACGCTAAAACCCATAATTATCATGCTTTTCCTTTGCACGTAGCTCTTGGCTGTTCTCTCCATTTTGTGCCGTGCCATGTACTTGAATAAAACACTCCCCTGTCCATGCTGAAATGGTCATTCGTGGGTTTTGTGGAGTTGGTGTTCTGTCCGTTTCCACCCTTTTCAATCTGCAGGCATTAAACCCATGGGCTCAGTGTGGTGCGGCCCTCTAAAACACACTTCATATATTGTGGGCCTGAAGTGCTGGATGTGGCATTCAGGGTGCATGAAGGGGTCTGCAGGGCGTAGGGGGGAGGTTCCTGAGCACCAGGGAGAAGCTGGCCAAGAGTGTGCTGTCCCTGTCAGCCATGCAGCGGCCTGCGACTGAAGATGAGTGGGAGTCGGGGCCACCTCCTGACCCACCCAGACGGGCTTGGCTGCATCCACTGGGAAAGCAGAAGACCAGAGAGTGGGAGAGCCCACCCGCCCTGAAGTCCCCCTACCCACCCCAAGGAAGATCCCTGCCTTGCACTAGCCCTGAAATCTTTCCAGCCAGGCTGCTTATCTCCCAGAGGTCCTTATCTAGACAGGAGAGGAAGGTGACCTCTCTCTCTCTCTCTCTGCCCGTAGCTTGAAGCCTCAGGGTCAACATAAATCATCTACAATATTTTTTCTTTCCTTTCCTTTTTTTTTTTTCTTTGACATTTACAGAGCTCAGCCGTCAGCCCCAGTCTGGAAGTTTCCTCGGAGCCGCCTGGATAGTAAGTTGTCACTCTACCTTGTTTCCACGGCTTCACGTATTTCCTGTCAGCAATGGGAGGCGAGAGGCTGGTGTGTCAGACTCCGCGTGTGTTTTATTTGCACAAGGATGCTTCTGAAAGTTTGTGGCAAAATGGAATTAGAAGACAAGTTTATTTTGGTGCAAAAAATTTTGAAGTGCATGCCTAGGGTTTTTTTCATGCTATGCATTTCGTGAACTTTGTGAAGACCCGTGAGTATGGTTTCAGCTAATGTTGGGTTTGGTGGTGAGTAACAAGTGATCGCCTCTGTACTCTGGCTCCAGATCACGTTTGATGAGCTTCCCCTGTGTTGGTGTCGCCCCTTTGGCATGGGGGTTTATCTAAGTTCCGCATCAAAGTTCCTGTCTGGATTCTTGGGGGAGGGGGAGCGACTGTGGTGGGCTGAATCTGGAATAGAGACCGGGGGCTCATGGGGGGTTGGACCCTCAGGCTGGATCTGTCAGGGGGCCTGGGGGAAGTGCAGCCAAGAGGGGGCTCACTTATGATTCTTGCACAGATGTGGGGTTGCTTCCTGTATTGATTCTTAGGTCTACCTGCATGATGCGTGCACCCCCCTACTCCCCCCTTAGCGGGGAGACCGCTGGCCCTCCTGCCCCTCCTGAATCCTCTGCTCTCCCAGTTTGCCTTTCTCAGCACTTTGCCATGCAGCTCTCCCAGCGGGAAACACTCCCTGCCCCCCACCCCTTACACGTGTGGCCTATGGTGAACAGGTCCTCATGGGCCTGCCCACACCCAGCCACACCTTAGCACCCCCCAGGGCCCTTGCTTCTGTTGGCATGCACTTGATTCATGTGCCTGTGTTTTTATAATTGCTGGTAAACATTAACTACTGGAGAGCAGGGCCTCCCACACAACAGTAATCTTGGGCTGGAATCATTTCCCAAAGGCTCTACTATTGCCTGTTCCATTTGGTGCTGTAATTCCATAGCAAACAAAGTTGCTGAGTTTCTGGATTTGGGGGCCCGTGCCATGGCGCTGTGGCAATGGGTATTCCAGTAGGAAACTGGAAACACCTTAGTCCTTTCAGGGCAGTGGTCAGAAGTTCTAGCTACATCTGTATGGTAATGCTTTCCTATAAATGCATGTGTTTCATGCTTAATGTACCCAGGAGCATAAGAAGAAATCAGGAGGATACATCCAGACCCAGGTGGAGAAGGCTCCTACCTTGCAGGAGGCAGAGTCTAGAGCCTCTTGTTCCCTCCCATGTCCTATCAGTGGAAGAGGTGCCAGGGCTCAGAAGCCGATTGGCCGCCTCCTCCCAGCCCTCCCTCCACGGGAGCTGTGCCTTCAGCTCCCAGGGTGACAGCAATCACAGTTTCTCCAGGTCCCCCAGAGGCTTTGGGAGGTGGAGGCCACCCCAGGACCTCAGGCTCCCGCAGATAAAGGGCGTGGCCTTGAAGGGTGTGGCCAAGGCCACAGCTCCTGCGACTCCCCTCAGGTGAGGTCAGCAGTTTATTCTCAGCTTGTCGCTTTGGCAATCCTGACTCAGCCCCTTTTTTTTTTTTTTTCCCCTTTAAGATTTATTTATTTATTTGAAAGAGGTACAGAGAGAAAGAAGGACAGAGAGATCTTCCATTCACTGGTTCACTCCCCAAATGGCCACAAAAGCCAGGCCTAAGCCAGGAGCCAGGAACTTCATCTGGGTCCCCTCCATGGGTACAGGGGCCCATGGGTACAGGGGCCCAAGGGCTTGGGGCATCCTCCAACACCATTAGCAGGGAGCTGGTTCAGAAATGAAGTGGCCAGGACACAAACCAGTGTCCTGTGGCAGCTTCACCCTCTATGCCACAATGCCAGCCCCCTGATGTTTCAGGACCAGCCAGTGTTGGTCCTGCTGCCTGGCCTTCCCCCTCACCCCCGCACCCCCGCACCCCTGCCACCCTGCAGCGCACAAAGCAGAAGAGGTTGCTGTGGGCAGCTGAGTGGATTCCTTAGCTCTACAGGATCTAGGGCACTGGGCTGGGTATTGTAGGGAGAATGTAGGCACACAGTCCTGTGGGGAGCAACCGGACTGGACTAAGTTACTGGAATTAAGACTTATTCTATGCATCTGCTCTCCCACAATATGGCGCTGGGAGAGAAGTAAACAGCTTCCACACAGCTGCCTCCAGTTCAACCAATAAACTGTAGGACTTGTTCCTGATTGGAGGAGAGCAGCGTACTCGGCGTGTGGGCAGCCGAGTTGGGATTGGCGGAGGAGGACTATAAAGGAGGAGAGAGACGGCATGCACCAGGAGCATCTATGGGGAACATCTAAGGGAACCCGTGCAGCCCCCGAGAAGAGCCGGCCGGCGGTGTGCCGCTCCCCTGCGGAAGTGGGGAATGTGGCCAGGGGGAACTGCCCTTCCACGGAGGTGGAAGGGATAGTAGCCAACCCGGGAAGAACCAGCAGCAAACCCGGGGAGGGCCGAGCAGACGAAAGAACAGCGACAGGGTCCTGTGTCGTTCCTCCACGAAGAGGGGGAGCGACACAGTCCCTTAATTTTGTGGTACACACACACACACACACACACACACGCACAGTTAGTAAATGGAAAGTCAAAGTGGCAAATGAATGAAGTAGGCTGTGAGGGTTGCAAGTGTTCAGAAGAGAAAGTAGCCACCAGGAGCAGGGAGGGTTAGGAGCGCAGGTCTTAGAATAGCTTCAGTAGGGTACTGAGTGTTCACCATGTGCCAGGCCTGTGTGTAACTTTCTGTCTGCTTCACCTCATTTAATCCTCTCAACATTCCAGGATCAGGGATTTTTTTTTTAATATATATAAATGTGTGTGTGTGTATGTATATGAAAGGCAGGGTGAGAGAGAGAAGAGATCATGTGTCCTGTGGTTCACTTCTCACTCTCCAAATGGCCACAATAGCTGGAGTTGGGCCAGATTAAATCCAGGAGCCTGGAATTCCATCTAGGTCTCCCATGGGGGGTAGTAGGGGTCCAAGTACTTGGGCCGTGCATTAGTAGGGAGAGGACTGCAACAGGTGATCTGATACGTGATGCTGGTGTTGCAGGCAGTGGTTTATCCTACTGTGCCACAGCAGCAGCCCCCAGGCATTGTTTTCAGCCTCATTCCATAGGAGAGGAAAGGGGCCCATTGAGGGTGCAGTGCCCGCGATTCCCCAGCTGGTGCCCGGGGGGCTCTCTCCAGAGCAGGAGCAAAGTTCTAGGCCAGGGGACTGATGTTGGCAATCAACTTGCACCTGCTCCGTACTGACCCAAATTTGGTAATAAACTAGCGGGAGGCATCCTCCAGTTTACTGTTTCTGAGCCTCTAAAAAACAATTAAAGCCACAGTTAGGATGCTGAGTTAGCCGGGGTGACGGGCCGAACGTGCCTGAAAGAGCAGTTGTTCGTTCAGACACTCGAGTGTACGTGTTCACCCAGCACTCATCCCTGCCACTGAAACGGGCCTCCAGAGCGCTGCTTTCCAACCCGAGCCCTTCTCACGGGGTGAGAAGGAGTCAGTGTTTTCCTCCCGCTCTTCTGCTGGGGGCAGGGGGTTCTGTTATCAGACCTGACGTTCTCCCAGTTTGTTCAAATGTGTAGGATTTTTTCCCACAGTTGGGGTTGGTGAGGAGCCAGCCTCAATGGGGTGCCTGGCACCAAGGAAAGTGTGGGTAAAGGTTTGGTGATGAATGAGAGGACCTGTGAATCTCTGTGATCTAGAATCCAGCCCACTTAGCACTAGGGCGGGCGGTGTGTGGACTGGGTGGAGAGGGACGCTGTGTGGGAGGAGACAGTGGCTGCACTTGACCTCACCCGAGGAATAGACAGACGGCCCCGGTTCACAGCTTCGTGGCAGCCGGAGAAGTGATGTCTGTATCTCAGATGGACTACAGTTTAAATGTTATTAATTAGCTTGGATTACATACCATAATATTTTAAAAATCTGAGAACAGGAAGAAATTAAGAATCCCAATATCCTAATACAACGAGTTCTACCCTGGAAAATGTATTTTATATTTGCCACCACAGTATGTTTTTAATTTTGTATTTTATTTCCCTAGCATTTTCAGACCCATTACTTAATAGTGCAACTATTGTTTTCATTGATGTTTGAGAATAGATACCTTCTAAAGAATTGTATTTACTCTATTAGGACAGCAGGTGGCGCCAAAAGGCAAGCTGCTTTGTTCTAGGCAGTACACCTATAACCAAGGGGACATTGTTTCCCCTTTATCTGAGAAAACACAAATATAACCTGCAGTACTGAGTGAAATATTGTAGCTTTCCCTGGCTACTTTGTTTCATAGATCTATAGTCATTTAATTGCAGAATTCTTTATTCTGCTAGTATTTATTGAACCACTATGCTAGACACCAGCCATGAGAAACTTGGTAGAATAAACTTCCTGCCTGCTGGAGGCTCAGGGTGTAACAGCGGAGACCCACTGGTGAGCAGCAGCCAGAATCCAGTGTGGTAAACAGAGATAGGACCGGGAGGCCTTGCGCACCCCTTGTTTTGGGGAGAAGTCAGGGAAGGTTCAGCAAACTGCAGATGGAGTGTGACAGTAGCATGTTGTAAATATACACACTTTCATGCAGTACAGAGGCTCTGGGAAGAAACTTTCTAAAAGACTGTGTAGACTTCCTCTCCAAAGTTTGCAGCTTACAAGTTACCCACCCCTTTCCTGAAATCCCCAAATGGTTTTAAATAGTGAGCATATGCTATTATGAAGTTTGAACTTTTACATCTTTATTTTATGCATTTGAAAGGCAGAGACACAGAGTAGGAGAGAGAGAGGAACAGAAACAGGAACAGATCTTCCATCTGCTGGTTCACTCTCTAAAGCCTGTAATAGCTGGAGCTAGGCAAAGCCAAAATCTGGAGACTGGAACTCAATCCAGGTCTCCCACGTGGGTGGTAGGGACCAAGTACTGAGCCTTCCCCTTGCTGCCTCCCAGGGTGCTCATTAGCAGGAAGCTGGAATTGGGAGTAGATCCAAGATTTGAATCCAGGCACTCTCTTA